GGTTTACAGTATGATTTTACTACATAACTATATTTTATTTCATCAGAAGTGCCCTTTACCTCTTGACCTTATATTTCAAGTTTAGGAACTGAAGTCTGAATTCTACACAAAACAAGGAGAGTAGTAAGTGACTCCATAAATATCTCCTGTGACTAAAGTTAAAAGACATTTTAAATTATTATTCTTATTAAAAGCATGAATTATCCAAGCCAAAGTGCAGAGAGAAAAATTCAACCAACTTGCTATTTTATCTACTATTAGTCATACAAACAAACTCAGAATACTTTCTTACTCTCAAAGAACCCTATCTGGGCACATACTGAAATGTAAGAAATTCAACTTAAACACAAGATTATTTAGCATGAGGTATTTAACCACTGGAACAAGTCACTCAGAGAGGTCATGAAGTCTCTGGCTTTGGAGATACTCAAAATCCAACCAGACAGTGTCCCAAGGAACCTGTCCTAGCTGACCCTGCTGTAAGCAAAGAGGTTGAACTACTTGATCACCAGAGGTCCCTTTAAACCTCAACCATCCTGAAATTCCATTTTTTAAAATCTTTACTTTTGCCAAAGAAGACAACAGAAGAAAGGTACAGGAAAAAATAAAACAATTCATTCAGACAGTACCTGACACCTGCAAACCTTTTTTAAAGGCATCGTCTCTCTTTTATAGTTGCCTTTACAGCCTACATGAAAAGTCTGAACAATTTGTACAACTCTGACATTAATGTTTCCTTGGGCACAACTCTGCATAAAATTTTATCTACTTCAAGTAAGTAACTGCAAAGAAAACACTGTGGAACACAGCATTAAGTAACTCAAGAATTACTTCTCACAATTCTATTTGCAAATGACAATAACTGACTGAAGTAGTAAGTCAAACTCTACTACTGATGACTGTCCCTGCTCAGATCAATTTCCACCCAAAAGAGCCATGGGACTTCTTAAATGACCATGTCTGTGGCACTGATGTCCTTCCTGAAGAGTCAGCTAGGGAAGCCTCCAGCTTTGCTTCCTGATACTAGTTTGTGTCTTAACATGAGGAAATAAGCATAAGGACAATTAATGGAACCTAAAATTATTTTCTTACCCAGACAAGTGTTTGAGTGAACACATTACCACGATCTTTAAAGATTCTAAACTCATATCAAACTGCCTGGGAAAGAACCACACAGTTCTGCTCCTCCTTATGCAAAAAACAGGGAATATCATATGAAGTTCTCTCACACAACAGGTTCAAATCGGAACAGAGGAATGACTTACTCACATAGCACAGTAAGTATGGAGCCTATTGCCAGAAACAACGGTAGATGCAAAATTCATACACAACTCAAAAGGGTTTTAAAATGATGTATATCCACGGAATAAAAATCTATACAAAACATCATCCCCACTGAGAGACTGGGAGAGGTGACCTAAGGCATAACCCTACATGCTTGCCTAGAAAGCAAGCTTAAGAATAAAGCACTGACTGTCAAATACTGTTTAGCTACGGAGACAAGCAGAACTTGAAATGATAGTCCTGTCACATACCAGGATCCCAGAGCTTTAAACTTCAAGAGAGAACAGCAGATTAGTCCAGTATGGCTGCTCCTGTGAAGAATGTTCTTCGAAAGAAACTAAGACTGTTGCACCAGCACATTACTTTTCCAAAAGAGAGGTGAAACAGCAACTTGAGACTGTGATAGCAACTATAAAATATTTAGCTCTCTAATGCCAATGGAGAAAATAATTTGCTTCCCCACTTTTCATAGTTTTTTTAAAACATCCAAAGAAACAAAGGTGCACTAAAGAAAGATCTTTTTCATCATTACTGTAATTAAAGCATGATTGACCATTTCATTCAACTGACAAAAAGCTTCCAATGACTTACAAATTATTACTAATACAAATCCAGAGAAAGTAACATGAAATTTCAGGCAAAAAAAGATACAGTGGTTAAGTGGTTCAAATACATATTAGGACACGGGGAGTGGGGGATGGAACAATACATGATGACAAAACACCACACACACACAAACAAAACCCTACCCAAACACACAAAAAGACCAAAGAACCCCACAACCATTTTTTGTCATCCCCAAACTGAAAATACTGCAAGTCACTGTCAGTCACACAGCTCTCTACTCCAGAAAACAATCATGAAGAGCATACCACTAAATACAGGTCAATGCTAGAAAGAATGTTATATGCACAGGCAGAGAAGAACAGAACCCATACTGTATCTCACAATGTGTAATCCAGAATGCGTATCAACACAAATTTCTGGAAACATGGGCTTTTGAAAGCTATTAAAGAAAGCCCTGCCATCTTCCTTTAACCCAGAACATAAGCAGGAATCCCAGCTAATCATTACTAAGCATAGCTGGACACCTGCTAACATAACTGTATCCTAGAACACTTAATCTTTTCAGTAATTGTCCCCTCCATAAATAGTAAAAATAAAATAAAATAAAATAAAATAAAATAAAATAAAATAAAATAAAATAAAATAAAATAAAATAAAATAAAATAAAATAAAATAAAATAAAATAAAATAAAATAAAATAAAATAAAATAAACAACTGACTAAATCACAAAAAGTACTGATTATTTGTACAGGGAGTCCAAATGACCTTCCCTTCCTAAAGGTCATACAGCATTTTCTACACAAGATGAAAATTCCTTTCCTTTATGTTAGTTCCTTATGCACTCTATTAATTTCTTCAGGCTGACACTGCAATTATGGTGAAATTTCCTATCAAAAACAGATTGTAGCAAGACTGTAACCCCCTTGAAATTATGCAAACTCACTTATTTGGTGAGGACAGAGCTTCAAAAAGCTTCCTATATTCCCAAAGCATCACATCCTTCATATTTGCAATCTTATTTTTAAAAGAAAAAGGTATGGTCCATGCTGAAAAAAGAGGAAATTCAACAAGCAAAACATTAAGCAACCTCAAGAAATCTATCAACTGCACACAGTTTTTCCTATGAAGAGTTTTTAACTACTTGGGTAGGGGGAAACAGCTACCCAAAACTTGGTTAAACCTTAAAAATGATAGCATACTTGAAGACAAATCTTACTGAGTGCACTCCTCTGCTACAATTCTGCTCAGCCACGATAGGTCACATAAAGTCAATATTCTGTGATAAGAACTGAATACCATGTTGATAGACTCAGCAATACCAGTCAAGTATGGATTCATGCATAAATAATCAAATCATGCTTCCAAGCTCCAGGAAGAAAACAAAACAAACAAATCACAGATAAACCCAGGACTTCGTATTTTTCATTCAAAATATAAAACCAAAGTGCCTGGCATCCAACATGTCTATGAGTCATTTGAAATTTTTCTCTGAGGAAAATACTAACATTCCTCAGCAATGCTGGACTTTGAACACATACCCATTAACTTTTAGCTACACTAAGAAACAAGCAATACTTTGCAGGTATCTGACAGAACTTCATCCCTTATAAGCCAGAGATTTAGGCACCTCATGAATAAAAAGCCCTCCTGCATTTCCACCCCACCCAATTACAGAAAAACAAATGTGTCTCCTCTCATTCCGACACTGCATCTGCAGAGATGAGACTGCTCTGAATCTTGTAGACTTGATCTCGCAGTAAAAAAACATTCAATGCTGAAACCAGACAGAGGGAGTCTGGATTAAACAGATGGCACACTATTTAGAACAGTTTCACTGTTAATAACATGATAATTGCATTCCCCCTTGGAACTCTTCTCATGCATTCCCAGGATCCCTATAAAAAAAAAAAAAACAAACCCTGAAACCTAGAAGCTTTACATCAGGATATTAAAAAAAAAAAAAAAAGGGCACAACCGCCTATCCTAAAATTCAGCCAGCATAATCTGTAGTGTTTATTCCTGTCCTTATTAAGAGCATTAGAAATTAAGATAACAGAGTTTGCATTCTGCTCTAAAGAAACAGCATTATCGATTCATCAACAATTGATGAATAATTTCAACCTTTTTAAGTCACTGAGTAGTTAACTTTGAACAGCTTCTTTTCAGAGGAAAGGGTCTGTGTACCTAACCTTGGGGAAGATAAAAAAAAAAATGAATTATCCCGATACCAATGCAAACGACACTTCACAATTACATAGGCACAGCATGCAAAATGCCGAGCTCCCCAGAGACAGGTGCTGAATGGAACCAAGCGACCTTCTCGTTCAAGAAGCAGCCGTCAAGAGAATTCTTAACTTCCACTTACCTTTCAGTGCAATCTCAGGACGTCTCCCCGCTTCTCCTACGGAAACAAAGAGCGATGCTCTTTTAAAATGTATCCACTGGAAAACGGGAGCTTGCTCCTGATGCCAGAGCTTGCGAGCACCTCCGATTTCCCTAAAACTTCTTGCTCTGACGAGGGGCACCCTGAGGGCCGACGGGCAGGCAGGAAGGCAGCGGGAGGGTACTGCCCCAGCCCCCAAGGCCGTTCCGCCGCCCTCCCGTGTCAGGGCCGGGGGCGAGCGGGCCCGGGGCTTACATAACCGCCGGGCGCGGGTATGCTCCCCCCGCCGCCTGAGGGGAGAGGGAGGGGAAAGGGGAGGCCGAGCGCGGCGCCCCGGCGAGTGGCGACAGCAGGAGATGGGGGCGGGGGGAAACGGCGGCTGGCGCCCCCGCACGCACAGACCCCGCGGGCTTCCGTCCCTGCTTGCGCAGCCGGTAGCGACCGGCGGGCAGCGGCAAACGAAGAGCAAGCAAGGTAGAGGGGAGCGCTGGCGCTGGCCCAGGCCCCGCGCCCGCCGTCAACGCCACCACACTACCCCCCACGGCTTCGGTACCAAACCCCTCACCCTCTTCTTCTCTTTCTTCTTCTTCTCCTCCTCCTCCGCTGCCGCCACCACCTCCAGCCACTGCCAACCCCGCAACTCAACAATGCACCCGCCCATTGGGCCGCTCCCGCCCCCAACAAACCCCGCAGTGATTGGCCGCTCTCTCCTCCATGCCTGTCTCCGTCCCCCTCTCGCCCAGGTCTTGGGCAGCGCTCTTGTGCGGGACCTGCCTCGTTGAGCCGCGACGGGAGCGCTGCCAGCAGCAGAGGGGAAAGCAACAGCTTCGCTGCCTTCACCAGGACACAGGAGGAAGCGGAACGGAACCTGCCCGGAACCCTCGTGGCTGGCTACACTTCCTGTAGCGGCGGTCCTCCCTCCGACTTCCGCTTCCGGGTGACGGCTGCGTTCTGAAGGAGGGTCACACAGCGGACAGGTACCCAGGGCCCGCCGGTGAGAGGGGCAGGGGGCCGGCTCGGGCGCCTTCTGGGATCTGCCCGCGCCCTGACCTCCTCGAGAGTGTGTGCGTGTGCGGAGAGGGGAGTGGAGGGACTGATGGCGGCGATGTCTGCCCGGCTCGGGCTATGCGCCTGAGCCAGACCGGCTTCGCGCAGCCGCCGTGGCCCTTCCCCGGGCGCCGTTAGACGGGCCGTCCGGGCTACCAGGCCTCCTCGCTGGCATCCTGCGCGCCCGCCCCATCCCGGGGCGCCCTTTCGGCCCTGGTGGTGGTGGCAAGGGGTGCCCGGCCCGTGCTGCAGTGCAGCCTGTGCCAGCTGGTGCGCATGGGCGCAGCTCCCCCCTGCCGTGTGGAAAGGGGCCTTCTGGCGTTTAATGCGGTGGGAGCTTCTGGGGGGATGTCTGCATTAGGGCTCGTCTTCAGGTTTCCTTCTGCAAGAGAATCCTCGGTGTTTGTCTCCATCGATTGGTGTCTTAAAGAGTTACAAGCTTTAAAGCTGTGTTCTCTGCACCATTACATTACAATCAATTCTTGGAAAAAAATAAGGATATTGAATCTGCTACCAAGTATGTATTAAAATGGCAAAGAAACCGACTCAAAGAGTCTCAGGTGCTTTGTGAAAATAAAGACTTAAAAGCCGTTATTTTCCTACAGTCCTTCATGATCACACTGAAAATGTTTTCCTTCCCATCTGCCTTTATCACATTTTAATAAGAACCTTAATATTTTCATAGTTCTCTCAAAGGTATACCTAAATAAAGCATGTACTTCCCAGCCTCATGAAATGCCTGGTAAGGTGCATCTCCTTGCCCTTCATTGCCACGGATGTTTGACTAAATTGGTGGCAACTTAACAGGAGCTGAGGAGCCAAGTCTTCTGTTTTTCATATGTTTTTCTTCAGAGCTTGGTGATCATAGCTCTGCCATACCCAAAGTGGATATTTCCAAACTGAATTCTGAGCTTTCTGATGTACTCTAGAAAGTCTGCAACTTGATGGGCCCCAGTGTTGCTAAAAAGCAGTCACAGACACTGGAAACAGTAATTTTTCTGACACTTTTCTGGCAAGGACAATTTACAGATCTGCTTCATAAATGTAATGGTGGTGGTGACTTACAACACAGTAATATTGAAGTCTGCACAGTTTGCTTTATTGTGCTTAATCATGAACTTCTGAAATGCAGAACAAAGTCTCTTAGCTCTCTGTTTTACACTGCACTGTGTACAGTGCAGAAGATGCTTTGTATGCAGTGTGAGTTGCTTTGGAATACTTCTTGTAACCTCCCTGGTTTTCCTGTACAGTGTATTGTTCTTTACAGGTGTGTGAAAGTAATCTGATATTGTCTGAGAAATAAAAAAATGTTTTCTTGTAGGTATGGGGCATGGAAATGAACATGGCCATGGCCATGGCCATGGCCACAGCAAAATTGAACTCCCTGACTACAGGCAATGGAAGATAGAGGGTACTCCACTAGAGAAGGTCCAGGAACAGCTAGCTAAGCGGGGTCTTAGGGATCCATGGGCTCGGTAAGTGCAAGAGCCTCTGAATTTTAATGTCATGTTGTAGTATCAACTGGACTGGGTCAGTACAGATTATTCTTTACTAAAAATACTGAAAATGTGTCTAGAATACATTAGTCAGCACTTCAGTTTTTATTTACTTTGTTGCATGGAGGTCACACCTTGCATCACCTTTACCAGCCTCATTTTGCAAGGCACCCTTGCACTTTGTGATCTTTCATGATGATACAGGCACGATGACCTCCTCCACTAAAACATGTAAGTAGTATTCGGTCTTGCACACATGAGTAAGTCTGTACCTTTTCAGCAAAGAAGTTGTGTGCTCAGATCTTGTTGAAGTTGATGTAATGTACGTTGCCTGTATTTCCGTGGGAGTGCAAGCAGTGTTAGTTTTCATTCTTTTCCTCCTTTGCTTCAGGCAAAATTGTTGTGGGCTTATTCACATTTTTTAAAAAATGAACAGTTTAACATCATATATCTAGTGTAAATTAACCTGACTTTTAGTGCATAGACCTCCAAGTTCACAAAGTGGTGCAAAACGGCAAAATGGAAAAGAGCTTGTGTAATATTTGTTGCCCCTCCTAGATAAAAAAATTAATTAATGCTTCTCTGGTAAAAGAAGGGGATTGAGCCAATTACATGAAGAGCTGAAATAAGGAACAAAGTCAAACTCTCAAAGCATGAGATGATTCCTCCTGAACTTTTCAAATTCTATGTAAAGTAATATTCCAGTTCCATAGGACAAGTATTGTGCCAATCTTCCTTAATGAAGGAGAAATTAAAGTATGAAGTTATTTACTTCAGTAATCTAGAAGACTGCATTACTAGTATCTTGCACGAGAAGTCTTGAAAATATAACCCTCTCTAGGGCTCCCTTTTTTGGTATATTAAATCCTTTTTAACAGGGGATCAGCTTTCCACCTTTGTAGCAAACGCACATTAATGGACATATTCAATACAGAATAAACTGTGTGAAAGATGTCATATTTGGAAATACTAAGCCTGTAGTACCCTGTATTAGCATCTAGAAGATACTTTCCATGCCAAAAAGCCTTCATCCCAAGTCACAGAAGCCACTTGCACAAGGGGTTATTTATGAATATAAGTATTTGAACCTTGTTTAAAAAAAATCTGTATCTTCTCCTGAAATGATGGTTCTGACTTTATTGCTTGGTTTTGTGCAAATGTTTTTTTTTCCTTTTCTTAAGGACTTTTCACTCCTTAAGAGAGACAAACTGTTTATAGATTACACTGGTTGTGCTACACATAAATACTTAATCAGTTATAATAGTGACCAACATTTCAGTAACTATAGGTTGAAAACAGTAAGGCAAAACAGTGTAAGGTTCAAATATTTTGTAGTTTAGTAGTCAAATACACTTTTTCCTTTTTTTTTTTTGTTTTAAATTTTAGTAGGCTTTTCAGATGCCAACATAGTTCAGTGTTGTATTGTAAAACAGAAAGTGCCTTCCGATTACGATGTTTTCTATGACTGGAAAAAATAGTCCCTTTTAAGATTTAACTATGCTAGATACCATCTAGTACAACAACTAACCTTTGCAGTCATTCCATCCCATACCTGTGCTAGCAGGTTCTGATTTTGTTTCAAGCAAGAATAAAAAAGAGAAGAGAATTAGGGGGAGCTTACTACAATTATGTTGTTTGCTGGCATTGCTTGTGTCTCAAATTACATGGATAAAGGGTTATAGTTAATAATATGTATTTTACATGTGGTGACTCCTGTTACTTAAATGATATTTCAGTGATAGAAATGGTACAGTCTCAATGTGTATCTAGTTGAAACACCTTCATTTTTTTTAAATTTTTTTTTCCCGGAACAAAGATATTCTTGTTAATGTTTATCACAATGGCTCCACTGATCTTACTCTTTTGATTTTATTTTTCTTTTAGTAATGAAGCCTGGAGATACATGGGTGGCTTTGCAAAACCTGTCACCTTAACAGAAGTCTTTACTAGGGGACTTAAGTGGGGATTTGCAGCCTTCGTCATCGCTCTTGGTATTGAATATACTCTGTTTCCTCCAAAGAAGAATGGGGGCCATCACTGAAGATCAAGTATGACAACTTAATTAGTTGAAACATGTATAAGCATGCGTCTCACTCTGTACTTATGCATATTAAAGACTATCACAGCCAAAAACATTTTTCTTTGCTTTTATTATATTTTTGTGGAAGGATCAAAAAACATTGCTGGAGCAATTTACCTGACTTCAGTCAGGGGAAAAAAGCCCAAGACATACATACGCTTTTGGATTTTCTGTACCATCCTTTAAAGCACAGAGCAAACTATCAGGACAGCTCTTCTAAGCCCTGCCAATGTTCTATTAAATGAAATTGAGAAGCATGTTGTTATTAAGAGAAAAAACTGTACTGTATTAATTACAGGTTTAATAATGTTTATTTCCTAGTAAGTGGTAATGAATGAGTTGTCATTTCTTAGAAGTTGTTACTGTCGTGGTTTAAGTCCAGCCACACAGTCTCTCTCTCACTCCCCCCTTCCTCCCCACCCCACTCCTGGAGGGATGGGGAGGAGAATCGAAAGAATGTAACTCCCACAGGTTCAGTCAGGAACAGTCCAGTAACTAACGTACAGCACAAACCACTGCTGCTACCACCAATAATGATAAGGGAAATAACAAGGGAAGAGAATACAACCGCTCACCACCCGCTGACCGATACCCAACCCGACCCAAGCAGTGATCCAGCCCTTCTAGGTAACTGCCCCCAGTTTATATACTGGGCATGACATGCTGTGGTATGGAATACCTCTTTGGCTAGTTTGGGTCAGGTGTCCTGTCTCTGCTTCCTCCTGGCTTCCCCTCCTCCCTGGCAGAACGTGAGACTCAGAAAGTCCTTGGTCAGACTAAACATTACTTAGCAACAACTAAAAACATTGGTGTTATCAGTGCTGTTCCCAGGCCAAAAGTCAAAAACAGAGCACTGTACCAGCTACTAAGGAGAAAAATGACTGCTGCTGCTGCTGAACCCATGACAGTTACTATTAACTCCTGTGCCTCTAAGTAAAAAGAACCATTACCTTTATGCTATATGAAAATACTAAAGCTTATACTTAATCCTGTTGAAGAATTGGCAGACACTATGCATCAAAATAATCCGCTATATAATATCCAAAAATTATATTGCTACCTCAATGCCACATTCACAAAACAGAGTGGAACGTAGTCAGTAATTTGTTTCACATTTCTTTTTTTTTTTTCCTTAAATTATCTAGCAGCTTTTGGAGTACTTTAAAAATGCCTGGAATGGGGACTATAGTAGAAAAGGGCCTGTTTACAGTGTATGTCCTCTGCAGCACTACGAATTAGAATTGGCTAAATATCATATTGTAAATGTTGTTATGCCATTACTAACATAAGCTAAGCAGGGTGTACTATGTATTTTTTTCAATCCCAACAGCAGGCTATCAGTGTCACTAAACAGAAAAGCAAAATTAGACAAACAAGTGAGAAACTAAATGCCACTACTCAATTACATAGTGTACTTCCATGGTGAAGAAACTGTAAAGTTACGTCACAAATTGCAGGTTTACATACGATTTGAAAGTCCTACCAAACATAGCTACAGTGTGGGGGGTGGGGTGGGTTAATATATAAAATCTTGCTCAGGAAGGCTGTGTGTGAATACATAACAGGGCTTTATTTTTAGAGCCAATCATCAACATCTGTTACTGTGGGAGTGCAACTGCCCTGTTCAGTGGAATTGGTCGCATCTGACATTGCTCAAGGCACTGTTCATAGGGCAAACTTTTCTTGCCTAATTCTTTCTCAAGAATCCCTATCCAGTTGCATTATTGAATGAAAAAAAAAAAAAAATCAAGAATCTACGGGGTAAGGTCCATTGCACAAAATATTTGTCCCTTAGGCAGTCCCACCCAGGATACACGTTTTCAAAGGCTGGCATTCACTGCTTGTTTTCTGTCTGAGCCCAAGCCTAAACAACTTAAGGTAACTGAATTTTAGATAGCTGTTCAGAAAAACAGATGTGGAGGATTTGTGCTGCTTACTTCAGCTGCTCTTTATAATTTGAATTTGGTGTGCAGTACTTGCATGCTGACTAGCTGCTCCCACACCCCAACTCTGTTTCAGCTGTTGCAGAAGCTTAAGACTTAAAAAAAAAAAAAAAAAATAGAAAACCTTTAAGCTGTAGTTGCTCCCATTTAGTTTCTTGTTAGGAAAGTTTGCTTTCATGTTCTTCTTTATGAATACTTTTCATTGGATTTTGTTTGTTTGTTCTACATCACATTCTTCAAGCTGCTGTAAGTTCCTATGGAATTAGTCTGTCTAAATAGTGCAAGCCTGCCACTTCACCGATGTAGCAGACAGTTCAGACACTAGCTGAAGAGATATTCATTATTGTGTTTTCAAGCACTAGATGAACACAGATACGAAGTTACTGTAATCGTATTTTCAGCTTACAGAACATTAGCATGTTGCTTAGCTTATTGAGACCAGTTTGGCTGCTGTGTAAACTAACGCATTCCTCAATAATTTTTGAAAACAAGATCATTCTATCAAGACTACTGTATATTAAGAAAGTTAAGACGATCAAAGTCTTACATCTTCTAATTTCAGCTGCAGTTTCCAGAAAATTTACATGTAAGCAAAAAAACTCAATTTAATTTCCACAGATGCTCTGCTTTAAAGATTTTTCTTGTGTAAGGAAGATCATAAAAATAAGCCTTACCAGCATTCTATGTAAGCAAATATATTGGGCATATTCACAGTTAAACAGATCAGTTTAGGTAAAATTTATGAATTTATTAATGAAGGTGGTTATCATTCACTGGTTTAGTAGCCAAATGGCAAACACTGCTCTAAGCAACTGACTTTATTTATGATAAATATATTTTGCCAATATTGAATATAAATATGTCTCATTATACATAAAATACCTGTGAAGTAAAATTTATGATAAATATATTTATCATTTATGATAAATATATTTTGCCAATATTGTAGAATATAAATATGTCTCATTATTATACATAAAATACCTGTGAAGTAAAATTTTTTCAATATTTTAACACTAATCCTGCCTGGGGATGGAGTATTTCCTGTGTATTAAAATAATAGTACCAAATCTGTCTTCACTGTAACCATAGCAATTACTATCTTTACATTAGAACAGCCTTTCTACCAGCACAGATATTTTATAGTGCAAAAAACAGGGTCACAAACAGCAGTAGAACCTGCAGGTGAGGAACATACATGACTGTAACACCACAATCAGCAAGTTCTTTCTGTATCTTAAGTTCTGAAAACCAGAACTGATGATGCTTCATTTTCTGAAATGCAGGTAGAAATCCCATCTCCATCGGTAGTCAAAGACCTGTTTCTGTTCACCTGCAAAGATACTTGTGATTTATCTATTGGTTTTGCTAATGCTACCTTTAATACTTACATCATTAGCATAATCTTCCAAATTTGTATATTACAGAGAAGTAGCAAAATACAGTACTGACTACATTGCAGTATAAATTGGATGTCTCTGGAATTCCTATTTCAGGGCTTAACCATTCTCATCATGAGAGGCAGTTGCAGTTAAAACAGCAAACTGTAACTGTGTGCATTCGATATTAATCTGCCTTTAAATCTCTCCTGAAAACCTTCCTACAAAAATCTTTGTTGAGCTCTAAAACTACAAGCTTCTACCCCACAATTACATCTTTCCCAGATCAGTATTTATTAGCTAAGGCTATTTACATCAATGCAAGTGCATTTTCTACATGCAGCTAAGAGTGTATGCCTCAAGGGGTTTTACACGGAACATCCTCAGACTCATGCTTGTCTTCCAATTAAGTTTACTGATTTCATCTTGGGTATGAAAACATGTATGGGTAGGACATGTATGACAGGGAACTGATTTTACAGGTGCTCTATACATTCTTTATTCTCATTTGTAAGCCAAATGGAAATCTGAAATCTGGATGTTAGATAATCCTTTTACCATTGTTCCAATGGAAAAGAAAAACCCTTTACAACAGCCTCTTCCCTTAGTGACAGCCTTTTAGTAATAATGAAAGTAACACCAACACATAACAAGAAAAACTAGTGACACCATTTATATACACACATGGAATGCACTCACCCTGACCCTACCAACTCTGATTTTGAAATATACAGCATAAAAGTTCGTATTTTAAGAGGCATTATTAAAATGTTTTGTTCTATATAACTAGGAGAATCTATAAAATTAAATAGATCAAACCTATTATGAAGGCATATCACAACTGACATGTCCAAAACAGAGATTTATAAGCAACGCTCTCTAAATTGAAACATATAGCACCGTCTCTTCCCAATCACATCTAACTTTACTGGTATGCTGTATGTTTTACATTATATTTGTTTACAGTTTCAGTTTACATGAGAACTTACAGATGAAGCCAAGGTAGTACTTCAGCTTTGAAACAGTGGAACAATGAAAAAGCTTGTATACAATTCATAAACCCTGCCTATAAATATGAAAATCATGAAAACTGTGTAATAGGCATATAAGATTTTAATAAATTAAGGAGTAAGTGAAAAAGTAAATGAGAGTATACTGATCGCTTAAGGAGTGGCTGTGTTAAATTGCTACATCATTCACTCAACCATTTATTCAGGTTGCCCAAAGAAGTGATAAATGCTCCATCCCTGGCAGTGCTCTAGGCCAGACTGGACAGAGCACTGGGTGACGTGGTCTAGCGTGAGGTGTCCCTGCCCATGGCAGGGGGCTGGAACTGGTTGATCTTGAGGTCCTTTCCAACCCAAACCATTCTATGATTTTGGGGAAAAAACAAAACTAACCAACAACCAACCAAAAAAAAAATCTTCCATAAGCCTGCAACTATACCATCTGCTTCTATTAGACTTTACAAGTCTTCAATATGTTTGTATAAAATAGATCCAAGGAGGAAGTGTACATACTGATTCACAGTAGGTTTCTAAATGAATCATCACCTATCCAATGCTACACCTTAATAGCAAGGATAGTGCAATGCCCTTAAATGACTAATATTAAAGTGAGAGCCTGACCACACAATTTCAGTAAGAATTCAGCTTTTTTTCTTTCTCAGAACAAAAAGTGATCAAATCCTAGTGTAGGTGATTACTTTCTGCCCATTTTCCCTGCAGTTCCAAGGACAGAGTTTGCACAAGTGTGCAATCCCACAGTACACTGCTGTATTTTTAGCAGCACCAAAAAAAAAAAAAAAAAAGTACTGCTTTATAAATGCTTTCAAATCCACTGAGGTGAAAGTTATCTATTATGAGTCTAATTTCACCTCATAGGGACGTGAATTTTGTCCGTTTCAGCAGATAAAATGGCCCACAAGTTCAGATTTTAAGCCTCTAAGAGAGCAACTCCAGTCACAGTACTAGCATACCAGACTAAGTCACTTCATGCAAATTGCTGGTTTATACCAAGGGGCATCACAACACCCAGTTTACAGGGATAAGGCATTACTTAAAATTTACTGAAGATATAAATAAATGGGAAGCACACAACTTTCCCGCACCGGTACAGTATCATCCTATGAACGAACTCCGAACATGAACCAAGTAAGCGCTTTCTTGTGTATAAACTCTCGCGAGAACACATATCCACACTTACCCCAACTACTCGCTGAAAACCCGTCTGTTACTATCGATACATACTGGAGCTGGTAAAAAAAGCTTTCGTTTTCTCTCATGTTAGCGGCCGTATAAAATGCCTAGTCTCATAAACGTCTGTATACGCACTGAACTCACGACCACACTACTGCCAAGCCCTTCTCCTCACAGATACTCGGAAGCCATTTTCTGCGACAGCGATACCGAAAGGCGCCGCGCTAATGCGGGACGAGACGTCTCTCCTGCCAATCTTGGGCTCCGCTGCCGTACTGAGGCGATGGGTTTGCCTTCTCTGACTCCTATATCCTGAGGCAGAATATAAATCAAAACCGAAAGCATAGTACCTAACGGCCGGACTCACGATGACATTCTAAGGGTTAGTGAACGTGGCTCGGCAGATGTATAATGATCGGCGGCTAAAGCCACTTCCCTTATCCCTTGGCGAGATCTCCGTCTTAAACAGCGGTGCTGTCTACGCTCAGAGGCAGCTCAGGTGCCTCCAGCAGTCAGAAAAAGTAGGAACCAAAAACTCTGCCTCTCCATGGGTAGACAAAGCAAATCTTAAAACCACGCCTGGTGCTGGGGGAGCCTGTTTGTTCTCCCGGCACCGCCCCCCGCTGCTTCTCCATGTTGCCAGTGCCGGACCTCGCCCAGCTGCTGTAGAAGAAACTTCCCCGGCGCGTCTGGGTGCGTTATACCTTCCCCTCTTCCTTTCCCTGACACTAACATGCGCTCCCAGTGTAGGTGTCCTAACACACTGTAGTTCGAAATCGGGTACTTTTTTGTAGTCTTCTTCCGCACCGGGAGCGGGCTTAGCCGGGTGCGGAGAGACGGCGCCTGACCATTCTCGTGAGGCGACGCTGCTGGTCCGCCCGAGCTGTTTGTTGAGAAGCGGGTTCCCTCTCGCGTAATTTTTCCAACTGTGATAGAACGTTGCGTGGAACTTTTTTTTTTTTTTTTTTTCTGTGAAAGCACCCTACGGGAAAACAAATTTTAGTTTGCATGGGTTTGTTTTTTTTTTTATGAGGAAGACTGGGGTGTTAAACCAGTGCGTCTCCAAATAGAAATCAGTGTGGTCACTGCTTGTCTACGCTGAGATCAAAATATTTAAGCCTAATACAGAAATGAGAGAATTACTGCAGGATTTCCCTGTTTCCCCTAAGTATCTCGTAAGAAATTCTTTTATAGAGAAATGTGGAAGTTGTGGAGCATGCTTCAAACAGTTCACTACTTTGAAAAATGCCAGATGATACAGACTCAAAATGCAGTCATCTTTGTGTCACTGCAGCACCTCTACCTCTTCAAATAAATCAGAAGATTGGAAGCACAGCTAGTGCCTCCTGTAGCAAAGTAAGCTCCTCGCGAGGGGCTTTCACATGAGTTCATCTTGGTAAAACAAAGACAATTTCCAGATCGGAACCACACCCACGAATGTTACATCATGGTTTTGCTGCTGCAGAACTTTATGTGAAATTCTCAAGGAACAAATGCTGCCAGAAATTACAGATTCACTGCAGACCATATTTAGTGTGAGGTATTTCCCTGCTTCTCTTGGAAAGACCTTCCCTCTTAATACTTCTCTGTCGTGGATCATTGTATTGGTATTTGTGTATTGCTCAGCATTTGTGTTGCAGTCATGAAAACAGCAAACAGTAATACTGCTTGAGGCTTGTACATGCATACTGCTCTCCACTTGTTAGCAGGGAGTTAACTGAAGTGTGTGGTTTTGTGCATGAAGCTTTAGTCTATTATTTCCTGCTCCTTGAGGAGGGAGGAGGAAATTCATCCCTGACTTTGGTTGTATTCTGTAAGGCTTGGGAGCAGTGTGAAACAGTAAAGAAAATAGTATAATCAACTTCACTAGCTTCACAGAAGCTAATGAACATACTGATGTTTTTCTACCTGTTTTAGTGTGGAACAGAAATTATTTGTGGTCTGAGGAGGAAATAGGCTTGTTAATATTCTCGGGTATTTACCTTACAGAGTTTCTTCTTGTGAACGTTGTTTACAGTGTAATACCCAGGCTCAAAAATTAGCGCAGACTTAAAGTCTAATGCTTGTGACAAAGGTGTTTTCTTGTACAGTATGTGAAAAATCAGCTTTAAAATCTTACATGTTGGAGAGTGTCATACATGTCAGGAAAGTCTGAAAGTTAACTAAACCCAGAAGGTTGTATTTAAGTGCACTTTGGAACTATCTCATTGAGCTGTTTTTTCTTGGATGTCTTTTGTGGGAAGAGGACAGACAAGTCACCCCAGAGTCAGTGACTTCCTTACCAGAGGCCCTAAGACTATTTCCTAGAAGAGCTCTTCCTCAGTGACTTCTTTACCAGAGACCCTGACTATTTCCTGGAAGAGCTTTTCCTCAGTGACTTCCTTACCAGAGACCCTAAGACTATTTCCTAGAAGAGCTCTTTCTCTGTGAAAATTTTGGGTGACAGTAAACTCTCCCCTCACCAGCCATTTTCCCTCAGTGTGCCAGAGGTTTTCCTGGTTCTTTGAATACAGGAGGAATAGAGATTTGATTGTTGCTGCTCCATGTGTAGGCCTGCCCCCATTCATAGTCACATGATCTTGCAGTACCCTTTTACAGTGGGAGTTTTATTAGATTTCAGGTATTCAGGATGATTGTGGATTTCATATAAATCAAGAATGTAAATGAGAATGTGTAGTACTTTAGGTTTCTTTTTTCAACCCTCTTCCTGATCCATAAGCTTTACATTGAAATCTTTACTCAGTACATGAACCATTGAACTAGAGAGGAAAATCCTGTGTGTTTTCTTGCAGCAAATTACATGACATGAATACACAGACTATTGGTACATTTCTCTTTCCTCTTTACTCTCTGAGCAAAGTCAGGTGGATGTATAGAGTTACTTTTCATTTAAACAGCATTGGAATTAAAGGCTTGTAGATGAGTTTTATTCTTTTTGATGTACAGACATAGTATGTGACATTGATTGTCACTCACAGAATGTGTAACGAAAGGCTGAAAATGCTTAAAAATTTTATCCAGGTGCTAGAATCTTTCCGTGGATTAGGGTTTGAAGTCAAATTGGTTTGGTTTTTTTTTGCCTTTCAGAATGGTTTAAACAAAACTGTGCAGTATAGTGACTCAGCTGCTTGGAATGACTAAGATTTGTCTTCATACTGCTCATTTCATTTTTCCCCATGTAGGTAATGGGGATCAGAGAAGGTGAGATAGAATTTCCGTAGTTGGTGGCAGTGGAAATTGAGCATAGCACCCTCCTTATTATGTTAATCACAAGGGTGGGGTTTTTCCTAGGTTTGAATTTTAATTTCTGTTTCAGTATGGTGAAACATGAATGTCACATGAAAAGGAGTCTGTGGCTTATCTATACTTTCAGAGTTAGCCATTTTGTGTACATAAGGTTGATTTCTTTTCTTTGTGTGGCTCTTGAATCTTTCTGAACATGGAGAGGGGGTGTGGGGAATCCTTAAAACCCTACTAATTAATTCATATTGGAATCACTTTAAATGATGCTAATAAGTAAGAAAATGCACACATTCCTGAATTTACTCATAATTTGTTAAAGTATTACATATTAGATTGTTAATATTTCTTTTATTTTGACTGCATTTAAAGCAAAGCATGTTCATGTTCTGAAGGGGGCCTGTAAGGATACTGGGGAGGGACTCTTCACTAGGGACAGTAGTGATAGGAGAAGGGGTAATGGGTTCACACTTGAAATGGGAAGTTTAGATTAGATGTAAGGAAGAAGTTCTTTACTGTGAGGGTGGTGAGGCACTGGAATGGGTTGCCCAGGGAAGTTGAGAATGCTCCGTCCCTGGCAGTGTTCAAGGCTGGGTTGGACAGAGCCTTGGGTGACATGATTTAGTGCAGGATGTTCCTGCCCATGGCAGAGGGGTTGGAACTTGATGATCTTAAGGTCCTTTCCAACCCTAACTATTCTATGATTCTGTGATGGCAGTGGTTTGCCTACAATGTATGGTTAAACTACCTCTTAGCTCCCAAAACTCTTCCTGAAAAATGCCTTGAGACTTTTAGGGAGACAGGGTCGTAGTAGAGAGGTGGATGGTTGCTGAGAAAAAGTCAGAGCTTTAGACTTAAATGGCTGTGGAACTTAACTAATTTCCACAAGCACTTGAAATATCACTCATCAGCAGGCTGATGATCTTTCACTTCCTATGGAATTTTCAGAGTTGTATTAAGGTTTTACTTTTAAAATAACTTCCTTTTTCTTTCTGATTAGTATGACCAAATACTTTTTGTTCTGCAATGAACAGCTGGGAGAACCCCTAGAGAACAGGAGGCCTGTGTAGACTGTTGGTATTTTAGTTGTAAGTGAAATATATCAGCTAGGAGAGTTAACTGTGAACTTGTGCTGCAGATCACTGATTTAGTACATTTTAACTCTCTTCCTCAGAACTGCTTATGTAAAAATGAATCAAGTTAAGAATGAACACCAGAGAACTGCTGTGGTAGAGTGTGCTTCATGTCATGTTGGCTTTCTGTTTAAAAAAACAGTAGGCTGGCAATTTTAAAGGGACAGCAACAAAGTGATGACCAGGTGCCAAGTGCCAGCTGCCCTTATTCACCAGATTGAACAAGAACTGGATGAAGAAGAAGAAGAGATGATGATTTTTCTGTGCCGAGACCTTGCTCCTGACTTGGCCAATGCTGACCTTAGAGAGCTTTTGGTGGCTTTGAATGAGAGGGAGAAATTGTCTTTGCTTGGCTTGTCTGAGTTGTTGTATAGAGTTAAGAGGTTTGACTTGCTGAGGAGGATCTTGAAGACTGAGAAGGCAACCGTGGAAGCTGACCTTTCTAGGAGCCTCAGACTTGTCGCTGATTACAGGTACTATTTCAGATATCAAGGCTACTCTATTTTGTTCAAAATGTGTGGGGGTTGTTTTGGAGTTTGGGGGGTGTATGTGTTGTTTCTTTTTTTAAATAGGTCTTGAAAGAAAAGCAGAAAAGGGCATTGTATCTAGAGTAATAGTGAAAAGAATATGTCAAGTTTAGTCCCTAAAATAAGGCTTGGTAGCTTCTTTCAAGTCATTGCATTAGAAGCATCTATCTTTTAAGAAATTTGTTTGTTTAATAAAATCAGTGATATCTGTACGGTTTTAGATCACCAGATAGAAATGATGCATTAGAGGAACGTTGTTAGTTAGAGATACTTTTCTAGTTTGCTTTGGTCACATAGCCTTGTAGTACAGCTTTTCTCAGGGGATGTGTGTCTTACTACATTTTACTCTCTAGTTTTAAGAGGCTTAAATTAAGAAGCTCCAGTTACTTTCTTTGAGAGGCTTCAGGAAAAATTACATATACTCATAAGGAAGATTTTGCTGTATTAACTTCTCACTGAAACAAAACCCCTGTAGCTACTAGCCATAAAAGTTCAAATGTGTTCTGTTGCCTCATTCTTTCACTTCATCCCTATTGAAATATTAAGAAGACTTGTGTTTTCCTGGCAGCAGATTTTACACAGTCTGAGTAATGGCAGGTGCTGATTAGCAAGAAGTAGGGATTTTAAAATTTAATCTTGGAGCAGGGTTGGCTTTTTCCTGTTTATTTGGAAATGGTACGTTAAGATTGGAACATGGGAGATGTTGGGTAGTTGGGCAAGGGTGGGATCTTGCTGAAAGCTAATCCTTCAGAAATGTGTCAACTTTATTCCAGGGTACTAATGGTGGAGATTAATGAGAATCTGGAAAAAGAAGAAGTGGGTTCTCTTATTTTTCTGCTCAGAGATTATGCACCTCGTATGAAAATGGCAAAAGATAAGGTATGTTTTTCTGGTGGTCTTCTCTAGGGCAAGAGAAGACCAGCAGAGGAGAGGTCAAAGTGTAAAGAGAAGTTGCTAGACAACAAAGCGGTAGGTGAGGCTGTGAGGAGCAGACAGAAGTCAGGAAGTGAAGGAGTAGTGGCTTCTATTTCAGTTTTTGGTTTTCAATTCAAGGAAAGATGCATGAGAAACAGTAAGAGGGAACAGTGAAGACTTGCTATAGTGAATATTGTTAGCATGATCCTCACATGCAGAAGGCATTAAAAAAAGTCTTTCGTTAGTGTAACTGATCAGTAAGTTTATATATGAAGGATCTCAAACCAATAATCATATGAAATGTATCTTGAATTACAAGATCACTTTTTAGGTTCATGCTCTGCTTCACTTAGAAAAGAACAGTTTTATTTTAATTAGATCTTTTTTTTGTACACTTGTGTTCTGAATGTTTAAGTGCTCTGAGAAAGCAGAGCTTCAGTAGAGAGGGTTCAGAAAACTTGTCAACAGTGCATAGAAGACTGCATATTTCTGTCTTCTTCCTTTGTGGTTTCTTTTCTTTTCCTTTTTCTCTCTTTACCCAAAGAAGAAGAGGTCCTGCAAATTCACCAAAGCTTTTCTTACCTCTTGCTTTGTGGCACATGAGGTCACATTACAAGTCATCCTTATAGCAAGGTAATGCAAACCCATTTCCTCAAAAAGAATTTTTTTAATTTTTTTTTTTTTTTTTTTTTTGAGAATATGACTTTCTAGCTTCCATTACTCTTACGGTAATACCAAGAATTCTTACACCTTCCAGATAATTTTCTTAGTGTTTCAGAAGGTAATGTCACTAGTTCTTGAATATACAACCTGTATGAACTCCACATGTTATTGTCTGACTTGTTTTGTTATTTACTGATAGAGAACAAATTACTGATATGACAGTTTAGGTTTCTCTTGCTTTTCTAGAGTTTTCTAGCTCTTGTGATTGACCTGGAGAAACTAAATTTGGTAGCTCCTGATCAACTGGATCTGATAGAAAATTGTTTTCGAAGCATTCACAGGATAGACCTGATTAACAAGATTCAGAAGTACAAACATGAAGGTAAGATCTTATTTTCCCCTGGTTACTCTTGATAGCAAGGATCAGATGTGTTCTTACTGAAGACAAAATTATGAGTTACAAGTCAGAGTATTTGCATGCTTCATGGATTTAGGTTCATAAAACAAGTTGGTATATCGTGTATTTCTCTGTATGTTTCTGTTTTCAGCTGTAATGTATTCTGCTCATTCTCAGCCAGTATATGTCAACGCACTTCAGGCATCTCTCCCTAATCTCAGTCTGATTGATCCTCCTTATCATTCAGGGGTAAGTGTACATAGACAGATCTTTCCTAAATATTGCCAGACATTGAAAGGGGATTCATCTCTGCAGAGGCTAAGGAATGAGAGATTGCTAGGAACAAAAATACTACTTACTTTATTTCTCTTATTCCTGTTACTTGGTGAGTTTAGGGTCTGATTTAAATCTTCTGACTAAAATAGGTCCCCTTTGAAGAGCTTCTGTGAATTTTTTCCTATTAGTTGGAGATGAAAAAAATTGCATCTTGAGTAAGTTTTTCTACTACTCTAGGGAGTGAAAAGTTTTGCTTTGACTGTTTTTTGCAGAACATATTACTCTTTGTACTTCTGGATTTTGCAGGAAAAGTAGTATTTTAACTTATGAAGGTCAGGGAGAACTTTTCAGATTTATATTTTTTAATTTGGTTTTAATCTTACTTTAAGAAATTTAATCTTGGTATGTGGAAAGTCATCAAATCCTGTTGCATGTAATATTCTTTATATTTGGGTTAGGTCTGATATTGTGATAGTGTGACCTTACTTACAGTATTTAGCCTTGCTGAATTAATTTGATGAGATTATTTCTGTCATGTGTTCAGTAAATGTGTATGTATAAAGCTCACATACAAGACACCAGTAATGCAATCTGTCTTTACTAACAAGGCCATAGCACCTTTGTTTTCCAGAGTACTTAATAGGAAAGAGTTTGCACTGACTTTCCATATTATGATAATATTGCTATTATTTCTTTTCTAATTCAGTGAAAGTTCCTCCTTGCGGCTTTATAGGAAACAAAATTCATATCTTCAGAGGATGTTTTTTATTTGTTTTCCTATGTTAGGGAACAAGCTTTTCCTCACTGTTCATGTCAAGCTGGTTTGGTTTTTTTTCTGAGGAGGAACAGTCTGGGGTTGTTTTACTTGTTATTTTGTAATTATAATTAGCTGATATATGTGAATCTAAAATATGCAATGTTTTTATTGAGGAAAAAAAATACTATTGTGTTATATTTTGGAACATTCTTGAACAAGAGAGGAAAAAGATACCTTTTTCTTCATTTTAGATCCAGAATGTGAACAAAGAAAAATCAAAAAATGGACAAAGTCGTATTCTGGGTAAGACCATTATATCTGAGTTTTGATAATCTAAAAACATCAAAAGATGAATTTAATTGTATCAATAGGACTGTTGTTTGATAGTTGTGGTTTTGTCTAATACAGTTGATAACACCAGCAGCAGAGAGTATTTGGGACCTCTGAAAACTGAGGTCCCAAATACTTAATACCCAAATACTCAAATACTGAAAATTTGCTCTTGTGTTTGCTTTTGTTGGAGTTTAAGCCCAGCTGGTTAACTCAGAACCATGCAGCTGCTCTCTCACTCCCCCTTCTTTTTCTTCATCCACTCCCAGGGGGATGGGGAGGAGAACTGAAAGAATGTAACTCCCACAGGTTGAGATAAGAACAGTCCAGTAAATAAGGTATAACACAAACCCACTACTGCTATCACCAATAATAATAATGATAAGGGAAATAACAAGGGGAGAGAACACAATTGCTCACCACCTGCTGACCAATACCCAGCCCAACCTGAGCAGCCATCTGGCCTTCTGGGTAACTCCCCCCAGTTTATATACTGGGCATGACGTGCTATGTATGGAATACCCCTTTGGCTAGTTTAGATCAGGTGTCCTGCTTCTGCTTTCTCCCGGCTTCCCCTCTTTGCTGGCAGAGCATGAGACTGAGAAAATCCTTGATTGGAGTAAACATTACTTAGCAACAACTAAAAACATGGGTGTGTTATCAGGGTTGCTCTCAAGCTAAAGTCAGAACCACAGCACTGCACCAGCTACTAAGGAGAAAAATAACTGCTACTGCTGAACCTAGGACAGCTTTGCTTGTGCCAGATCTTCATTTAAATTGTTGTGGGCTTCCACTTTCATAGCTTTTAAGCAGAATAAATAGCTTGTTAGTAAAATCATGGAAGAGGTTGACTAGCCAACTCTGGAAGGTCATGTAGTTTAGCTGTGCAATTGAAGTCTCAAGTAGGAACTTTCTGTGTCAATTCAGTGGTGAGCTCTCCACCAGGCCAGCCAGGAAGTTGTCCAGTGAGTATCAGGTTCTTACCATCTGTGTTGTGTTCTTTATGGAAATGCAAAGTTCCTCTCAAATACGCTGATTTTTAGAAGAGCAGTTGGCTGAATTATCTCAGTGTAGGAGATTGTTTGTTTATTCTAGTTATAAGCAATATAGAATGCAAATAACATCTTAGAAGTGAAATTTTGGGGGTTTTCTTTACTTCAGTAGCATACATAGAAACTGAGAAGTCCAGATGAGTGAGAACTAGGTAGGTTTCTCTTCAGCTGATCTGATGTCAAAGAAATGTCACTGGTTCCTACATACTGAGTTTACTTATGTATGTTTCACCTGCAGCAGAACCAGTCCACATGTCCATTCAGGAATCAGGACCAGCATCATATGAGGTATGTGCTTGTGCATATGTTTGCATGTAAATATAATAAAATCCTCAGCAGGTATTTACCTTAGTTTTCTTTCTGTTTCATTTTGAGATTTCCTTTTCATTGCCTGCAAACAAAACAATGTGTACACCCATATCTTCCTCAGCCTTAAACAGGTTCTGTGACTTGCTTTTGCAGGATATAGTTTGAATATAAAATACTTGCTGCTACTACTACTTCAGAAGCAGGAGTGTGCAAAATGCACGTACATATGATGTGCACACAGAACTTGTGTATTTATTAGTGGAAGCTAAGTCAAAACTTGTTGGAAGTCAGACCTCTTGCTGTATGCATTAGAAATTGCAGGGCTTCTTTGCATGAATTTTGTCCTTTATTCTCCCCCTGCCCGTTGCTCTCAAGGTGGAAGACAGACATACTTTGGGTATTAATGATGAGAATGAATGACTGCTGTTTCCACTACCTCCCCTGTAGGCCAGGAACCAGGGAATTACCTATAGCAATAGTATTGTAATTTTTAAAGGGAAAAGGTATTGTGGTATTGTCATTACAGATTATTTAGAAACAAGGAGGTTGTTCCACTGAATAAGGAAATAAATGTTTTTCTGATAAGCAGTGCTTGCTTGCACACCTGAAGAGCACTCTACATTTATTGTGTTGGCAATATGAAGCTTATAGTTCACATCTAAATAGCAGTTACAGTTAAAGAAATTAATTTGGAAGTACTATAGAAGGGTCATTGCTGTCATAGTCCAGGTCTTTAAAAAGTCTCTCCATCCCATATAGCTGCTTTTTTTAGTCTTTGTTTTAGGATCATTGTGGTAGTAAGATTTCATAACACAAGGGTGCAAAAATTAAAGCATGTACTAGAAAGGGGGGTGGGGGGGTGGGGGTGGGAATCATTAGCCCATGTCTCCTGATTTTTTTATTGCTGTGTAGATAGGACATACTGCACCTCAGTAGACTTCTGCTAGCTATTCTGTGGAAAAACAACAATGTGATTGAATATACCTGAGGTTGTGAAATGTGAGAGAAGAATCAAGTCTGTAAGTTGAGAGTGACATACTAAGAACTTGTCCTTCACATTCCTCAGGTGTTTGATGATAAGTACAGAATGCAAAGTCAGCCTCTAGGAATATGCCTGATAATAGACTGTATTGGGAACAGTGCAGGTAAGTCTGTGGAATCTGAAGTTCCTTATTTTCTTAATCTCAGATAATTAAAGCAATTTAGCATAAAGTATACGATGTACATTTGCTAGCCAGGCTAGAGTAATATTGTCCTAGTCAGCTAGTCTGTCAATTGTAGTAAGTCTTCTAAAGCACAGTTGGAAGGCCCAATCTGAAGTTAAAGCAAACTATCCTAATTATTGCAGACAATGTTTGTTTGGCTTTTGGCACAGAATCTCTGAATGAAAGAGCTTGTAAGGAAGATAGACTGAATTTTGGGAGGGAGAAAAAGGATGTTCAGAGACCAACAGAATAGTTAAGATACAGTCATACAGCAGGTTATTGGCAGAGATGGTAAAGGCGGCGTTTTCAAGGAGTTAACAAAACCAGAACTGTGGATTTGAAGTGTAATCATATTGGACACTACAGATTTTGAACAGCTGAAGGCACATGATTTATTATTAATAATGCAAATGTGCTTCTGTCACATCTTGCACAGTTTAACTGAAAGTGTCACCACAGCTCTACAGGAATTTTCTTCCTTCTCTCTTGGTTTAGTTAAAAAACCCCAAACCAACCAACGCAAAACAAAACAAAAAATACCCCCCAGAAAAGCCCAACAATTTGCATGTAAAATTCAAGATAGTCAGTGCTATGGTTAAAATGTGGGTTTTTACTGATTACCTTTATATAAACTAAAAAGTACATGTTTGCATAAGCAAAAAAGACCCACTGTCTAATAATTGTAAAATATGAGGCTAAAGTAAAAATTAAGAGAGTCCTTGCTGTTAGTTCTGTAATAGGATAGGAGATGTTGGGGAAGAAGAGGGTTTGTCAGTGTGTCTTTTTCTCATAACTAATGGTCCAGCAGATGGACCAACCTAAAATTACTGATGTAGTCTTTGAGGAGCTGTGTATACAGAGCATAGATACAGAAAGTAAAATTTTTATGTTTGATGATCATAAATTATGTAAAACAAGACAGTTTGTCATTAGGATAACAGGAATTTATTCATAATCCCACAATTAATGAAAATGAGGGACAGAGAAGACACTTCAGTCAGTTACATGAAACTGGGAAGCACGCTTGGCATCTGATTTCTGTATGTCCTACCAAGTACATCAATCATCTCTGGCCAAAAAGAAAAAAAGAAAAAGGATGCAATTGCTGAACACAAAAAATCTAGAACACTTCTTCACTTCTGTTGTCAACAAAAAAAAGGCTGACTTTGGCCAATAGGGAACTACAACAAAGACAGCCTGCCAAAGACTGAAAAACTTGGGGGGCAGGAGAGCAGCTCTTGAGATCAAACATTCTGCTCTGTCCTGTTGCCTGCTTCTTTACTTTCCTGTTCTTCTCTCTTCTATGGTAGCTTTAGAGAACAAATAGCCCTGTCGATGCAAGAAAGATATACAGCCTTAATCTGAAAGGTAGCACAATAGTCTGCTCCAATACCAAAATAATTACCTATTATTTGTAATTCTGTTTCTTAAAAGCAAATGTAAAAAAGATTGCTGGGGAAATACAAGTGTGGGGAGTTAAAGAAAACAGGAGGTGTAGAAACAGTGTTGTTTATGAGAAAACCCTCTGTAAAGTTAATTGTCTCTAACAGCATATGAGCTTGTGCTGACCTGGTTTATTGAACAAAAATGTTTTACTATGCCAGGTCTGATTTTTTTTTTTTTTTTTTAAATGGAACAAAAAACAAAAGCAGGTAAGGTGTGTACATTGGAGAAAACAGGAACCACTTTGTCAGTTTGTAGTCATGGATACATAAATTTAGATCTATTCTTCCTTAGAAGGCACAGATCTTTTGCACAGGCACTATACTGTGCAGACCCCTTTGTCATGGTAACTGCTACTAAATACAAAGATTGCTTAAAATAAAAATTAAAAAAAAACCCACTGCATGTGATCTTCATGAGCTCTTACAGTCATTTCAGTCCTTGTACAAGAACAGAAAGTGTAAGCGTGACAGAGGAAGTCTGCTGACTGGAGAGGATAAAAATAGATCACGTTTAGTGTCTGGCATGTCGTATACACTAGCAAATCATGGCTCTGCTGCTGTTGTGCCAAAACCACCCAAAGCAAGTCTTAATGTGCTTCAGTCTCCATGCATTTTCTGCAGTGGATGCAGAAGCAGTTAAACCCCTATATGTGTCAGACATTTAATGTCACCAGTGCATCATCAGCATTTTAACATGATAGAAAGCAAGACTTTCACTTAAATAAATTACTGTGCTAGTGAAATTCAGGAGAGACAGGACATACACCATTGCTTAAAGGAGCTTGTTAGAAAGGCATTCACTACTGTGTAGAGTTGTGCAACACTACTTCTGAAGTCTGAAAATAGAAGAGAAAGAGAAGTGGGCAGGGAGAACACTAAGAATTCTATCTAGGGTATGCATTAGAGTCTGTAGCTATCCCAAGATTCAGTCTGAGAAAGTTGAACCAATAATAGATCCTGCATGTTCAAGGATTCCAGCAGTTGAAAATGTTCAGTGTAAATAATGTAGTGCTCAATACATGCTGATAAAATTCAAACTGCAATGCCCATTCTGTTTTGTAAATAGCTGCTTTTGACTTTTCCACTTGGAAGCCAGTTTTTACCCTTACCTTGTAAACAGTCAAGGGGAGGAAACTATAAATTTTGTATGTAGAGTGGAAATGCTCCCAAGTGAGTTTAAGTTTACTGGGAGATGGTTACTGTTGAAGAAACAGATGCTTTGTGATCTGAAGCTGCAGCATGTAGCTTTTATCTTGCCTTAAGGTAAAATTGCTGTATCCAAAGCTTACCATGGATAATTTCTGTTTCATTGTTAAACAAAGGTACCAGCTCTAAGATTATTTGGTTTAATTTTTTTTTTATTGTGACACTTAAGGGCGTGTCAGGAAAAGCGCTCTCGTTGCTGTAACTTTTTGCGTATGTACTATCCTCTAAAGGATGAAGTGCTTCATCGAGTATATAACTGTTCAACAGTATTAATACTGAATCTTCCACCTGAATTTTGAAGAGGATTTTTAATTGCCTAAAATATAGGGGATTTTCCTTTCTAATTCCAAATAAAAAATATCCAGATTTTTTTTTTAATTATTTAAAAAAATTTAATCAGACCAACAGAACTGTAATGAAACTCTCTAGTTCCAGTTTAGCACCTTGCTATAGTATAGTTTGTATTTTGCTGAGGAAAGTTAAAAGTTGTGTTCCTTGTTTTCACTATGGGCATGTGTGACAGTACAACTTCTGCTTTGCTGCCAGTTAGCTCTGAAATAGCCTCTGATAATTTGGGATTGTTAAACTTGAAGTCCAGGAACAGCCCAGCTTCCTGTGGCTGTAAGGCATTTTACATAAACATGGCACTTGATGTTTCCTGTCATATCAGAAACTCTGCATGCTTTATTCTGAATGTAACGATGCTACAGGTATCCTAGTAGTGTCCTGTGGTTCTCTGAACACTTAAAAAATGCCAGTGATTTTAACCATAATGTACCTGGTTTCACTCCCATATTAATAAACATCCAAAGTAGTTATTCAGAGCATAGCACATTTTCCTGCAGCACAAATACAGTTAAATCTTGATTTTGGCTACCTACAGTTTAATTTCTAATACATTTGAGGGGGTTCATTGTTCAGCTTTTTTTTTTTTTGTCCCTGAAAATGCCCTTCCTTTGCAGTTCAGACTCCAGTGTCCATTCTCCCCCTGGAACTCATCACTTAAAAGTTCATTTTATATAAAAGGAAGTATAACTGACTGCAGCAGGTTCCTTTTTGACTGATGAAAGGGAGCCTGTGCAGTTCTGTAGATCTATAATAACCACTCAGAGTAATTTTGATAAGTTAAAAGGTGAAGCACACTTCCCATGTTACCCAGATAACTCCTTATCATTTCTAGAATGTTGTGTGTGAAGCATTTTCTAATGTTTTCTCTTGTCTGATATTTCAAGTGCTAGGAACTTGGGATACTGGCTCTAAGTTAAAGTGTGCAAGTGCCTGTGGAATTTGGAACAGATCACATACCAAATAATAGTGTCTTTGCTGCCACAGAGTACATAAACATATTAAAGACAGCATGCATATAGCACTATAAGTATGTAATGTAATCAGCATCAAGTACTCTTGATTTTTTTAATTATTTTTGGGAAATAAATTATTTGCAATAGTGAAATACTGTAAATACTGTAATTCGAGATACTTGAGATTAAGTCTTGATGTGCAATGATGTAATTACATCTTGCTTTTTTCAGATATGCTGGAAAAGACCTTCAGATGCTTAGGCTATGACGTTCATTGTCACAGATATTTAAATACGAAGAACATGAATCAAACACTGATTGAAGTTGCAAGGTTGCAGAAGCATAGAAACTGTGACAGCTTCATTTGCGTGTTGGTCAGCTGTGGAAATTCTAAGAGCATCTTCTGTACAGACCATACTTTTTCTGGATTCCCTTTGGAACAAGTAAAGGTATACTTCACAGCAGACTCATGTCCTGAACTCATAGGAAAACCGAAGCTTTTTTTTATCCAGAACTACATTGTGCCAGACAATGAGCAAGAATGTACTAGTTTGTTGGAAGTAGATGGGAATAATGAGAACTTCTTAGCTCATGCAGAAACCCCATGGAAAGTCACTATTCCCCAAGTAGCAGACATCTTTTGGAGTCACTGCAAGGTGAACGTGTCTACACTAGAAAAGTCTTCAAATTCATCCTCATATTATCTGCGTTGCCTGGCTGAGCTACTCTGCAGTCCTCATAAAAGGTAAATAAAAAAAAGAGGAAAAAACCAACCCTTTTCCTATGACAGCCTGCTGCCCTACAGAAAGAGAAACCTGAGGTGTCATTCTGTCTGATCCTGAAAAGTGTCATTTGTTATGCTGTGTCATAAGTTAAAAGACAGGTATACCTGATCCTGGAACAATGACACAGGAAAATTTTTCAAGGTATTTATGGCGTTAACATTTAGTACCTTTTTACAAACCCTAAAACCTTGTAATGAAATCACAGATCATCATATTAGCATAACCAGTATCACAACAGTGATTTGGGTTGTAACAGATTGTCTCCAAAATGCATATTCAGCCTTGGGTTTTAGAGGTGTAACCTCTGCAATAAAGACTGACATTTGAAACTTTCTCCTTGCTGAGTCTAAAGTTGTGTTCTCACTTGTGGATTCTTAAATGATGTCTTATTTCATTCTCTAATAGAAAGCTTTTACGTTTGTTGCTGCAGGAAGCTCTCTATATTGGATATCCATACGGAACTGAACAGAAGAGTCTATGAATGGAATAAGACTGCTGACCCAAGCCAACAATATTCACTTCTGCTCCAGCACACACTGAGGAAGAAACTTTTTCTTTCTGCCACTTAACTGCTGTTGAAAAGTATATCTCTGAGGTGGCTAATGAGAAACACTTAAGATCCAGACAGTCCTCACACATGCTGTTACTTTATGCATTGTTACTGCATGTATGTCTAAAGTGCCTGATGCTTCCAACTCCAGAGATTCAGAAGCATTTCAGTGTGTTAAGGCACTAGATTTATAATCTAATACAGAAGGTTCTTAAAGCTTGGAGGAGAATGGTGGCTATCATTTAGCACTGCCACAGATCTTTCAACATATACAACAGGTAAACAGGTTGGAAGGAGCTCTAAACTGTAGACCTGTTGGTTTCCCAGGGTTTTGTGTATTATTTCATTGGTTCTTTTCAGCATACCTATTAGCAGTGCACTGATCTAGGTTCTTCTGTTGATGCTTAAAACAAATACAAGCCAGTGCAGGCTGCTGAAAAGCACTGGGTACTCTCCCCAGCACCTAATAATGGAAAACGCGTTGGGAAAGAATCCCTACCCAGCAATGCCAGTTCTTCATGAACAAGTTTTGGCTTGCATGCCCCCACAGACTAGCATAACAGAAGGAGAAGAGAGATGGTCTTTTAAATAATTTGTATTCCATCTGCTTGCTGCATTAAAGGTGACTCACTCAGGACTACTGTCAGTACTATCCACAGCACACAAGGGTTCTGTTCTATGTTAATAAATGAGACGGTCTGCCATGTTGTGGGCTAGCTATGTTTTTTGGTGATGCAGAAATGAGTTTACATGTGGCAGGACTTTACAGTAATCTACCACACAGTTAAAAAATGTGGGATTTTGGCAGGAATTGTGGAAGCTGAAACATGATTCACACTTGTTGACCAGGTATAGTTGTAAAAGTCCACTCTATCATATTTGAACCTGTGTTGTGTGCAGCCACTTGCTGTTATAAGTGAATTAAACACCACACCCTCACCGCTTTTGCTCATGAAAAAGGGTATGTCTTTCTTCATTGATTCTTTTATTTTTTTTTTCCTCCAAGTTGCTCATTTCCTTCTGAAAAAGGCATGATTGAAAACTATAAATACAGAATTTTTTCTCCAGTGGAGCAGATGCCTGACACAAGTTAGTTAACCTGCTTGTTATATAACAGTATAACCTCAATGAGCTGTATTAAAACTTAATTTCACTGAATTTATGGCTTTCTCTTTCCTCCTAAAGTAGACCATTTGACAACTTTTAATACTCCTAATGCAGTGTCTTGTCCAGGAAAAAAAATAAAGGCCTTGGCATGCCTTGCTTGGTTTCTTGTGTAGTCACACCGTACATCCTTCTGGCATGCGTTTCATGCCAGCAGAATGGGGGTTTTGCTAATGCAGGATATACTAGTTCCTTGAGCAAATATACTGCAAAAAGATTTTTTTTTGCTAGTAGCTGCATTTAATTTGAGCAAAAAACAAGTGTGCTTTTGTATGTAACTTCACCAACAATACTTCTAATTGTAGACCAAGTCTATCAGGCAGCTAGCTTATTGATAGAATACATTGTACATTGTATACTATCAGTATATGTCAGTATATTGAGAATAATTAGGAGTGCTTGGCCAGTAAATTTACTCCAATAACAGTAATTTTTTTTTTATTCCTTGATATTATGTTGTACTTAGATGTTGGCTTTACATAGAATTATGTCAGTTTTATCAACTTTCTTTTAAAACCATGTTTCTTAAGTTTCATTCAGGAAAAAAAAAACAACAACCCACAAATGTGTTTTCAAGTAGCCACTATAATTGAAATTAAAAATCTTTTTTATGTGGCAAAGAGTAGATATCAAAATTTAAAAAGTGCTTAGGAGCCCTTCCTTATTATGCGATGTAGAGCCAGATTAAGAGCATACAAGGAGGAGAAACCCACTGAACAGGTTTTACCTTACAATCTTTTAACTATCCACATAAAATGTTACTATTAAAATATATATTTATTTATATTAATGTACTATTTTGTATTACATATGAAGTACATATTATTTTGATTAAAAATTCAGCTCTTTTTATTTTGTATTTTATTTGCATGTTAACTCTAGGAAGTTACATACACAGTTGTGAGGAAAAGAAATTTTTGCACAATTTAGAAAAGCAACTCACCTGTATTGCAAGCCTATGCGTTCCATACTTTTTCCACTTAGTAAGCGATAGTGTCCTCTTTAAAAAAGTTTCTGTATACTTTTGTTACAGCTTTGAACTGGGAAATGTAGACCAAAAATTCATGTTATCAATGTGTTATTTGTGTAACTGAAATTTTATGTAGGCACAGGCATAGGAGGAAAAACAGAAAAGAATTTTTTGGAAAATTCAGACATTCTGTAAAAGCTTGTTCCCTATGAACATTAAAGCAAAAATATTAAATCCGATTGCATTAAGTTTTAGGTGTGGAAATAAACGCATCATAGTGGGACAGGAAGAGGGGTCAGGTCTTTTTTCCATTTTATTGTTTTCTAAGAAAGGGCCCATTGAACTGGTCTTTTCCTTAAACTGGTGCAATCTTGCTTCTGGCTTTAAAAATACTTGTGTCTTAAAACTACATTCATATATATTCCACACACTAAAGTAGAGAACTTACTGCACTGCATCAACAGAACGGTCTATATTATATGTGATAGGTAATAAAAATAACATTAATTTCTAACCCTGAATAGTTAATAACTTAGATATGTAATAACATTATCGTAGAATAAGGAACAAATTAATTTTGAAACTATACCTTGCTAATTTTTCATAGGGTGAGAGAAGGATTATAAAATGACAGGTTTGGACTCTTAGAAGTTACTTCCTGGAGTGGCTGGCAAATGAAGCTAATGGTGAAACAAGTATTTCCTGTGGTTGTAGAAGTAAGATAGGATTCCTAGTTACCATATGTAGCAATGTGATGTTAATAAATGTGGTGTCTTTCATAAATTAACTTCACTTTTTCCCGTTTCCCTTATTAGCTTTTGCATGCGATGAGCACTTCTGCTGCCTTGTAGACAACCAAAAGCAGGGAGAATGGAACAAAGAGGAGGCAGAGAGATGAGGGAAAGAAATACAAAAAATTCAATTAAGAACAAGAAGGGGAATGGCAGGGAGGACCAAGAGAAGAACAAATAGGGAAAAGAAGATTTGGAGGAGAAATACAACATCAGTCCTGGAAGGAGAAAGAAGAAAACAAGGAGATAAGGCAGAAAGTAAGAACAATAGAAGCTGTCCTTAAAGGATCTAATGATGTGGTGGGCTTTGTGGATTGGTGGTTGTTTTTTTGAGTGTCACCAAATACAACCATTTACTTAAAAATATTACCAATAGGATATATTATGTTTCTGACAGTTTTGTGACTATGTAGGTTTGGGGATTATGAAGTGTACGTGTTCTTCACCTTGGTGCATGACCCCTTCCCTAAGAAGTGACAATGAAATGCTGTTCTGAAAACTCCAGAGGCTCCTGTAAGTAACCCTTGCAGTGAAAAAGGGAGTCTCTTTGTGTCTGGCTGCTTGGGTTAGAAGTGGTCACAGCCTTCTTAATGACGAAGGAGTTGTGGGGATGTCATGTATTGCACAGCATTCATGAATGTCAGATCCTCATTTTCTACACTGCTGTAGATCCTCATTTTCTACACTGATCCTCATTTTCTACACTTTCTATCCTGCCCCTCTACTTCGCTCTTGTGAGACCTCACTTGGAGTATTGTGTGCAGTTCTAGTGTCCTCAACATAAAAAGGACATGGAACTATTGGAACAAGTCCAGAAGAGGGCCACAAGGATGATGAGGCGACTGGAGCAGCTCCCATATGAAGACAGGCTGAGAAAGTCTGGAGAAGGCTGCGTGAAAACTTCATAGCAGCCTTCCAGTATCTGAAGGAGGCCTATAAGGATGCTGGGGAAGGACTCTTCATTAGGGACTGTAGTGACAGGGCAAGGGGTAATGGGTTCAAACTTAATCAGGGGAAGTTTAGATTTGATGTCAGGAGAAAGTTCTTTACTGTAAGGGTGGTGAGGCACTGGAATGGGTTGCCCGGGGAGGTTGTGGATGCTCCATCCATTCAGGCCAGGTTGGACACCCAGGTTGGGTGACATAGTTTAGTGTGAGGTGTCCCTGCCCATGGCAGGGGGGTTGGAACTTGATGATCTTAAGGTCCTTTCCAACCCTAACTATTCTGTGATTCTGTGATCATAAATGTGATTTGAATCGGTGCCATTACTAAAACAGCATGATTTAGAAAAACTGGTGCTGTTACTAATAAATTATAAATGCTGTATTTCAGGCTGAGTTTCTGAAGAAAACTGCATGCAGTCAGACTGGTTGTCCCTGTCTCTTAGGTCACAGTACAACTCTGAAATTCTTGGTCAACTCATCTTGTAGACCTCTACAGCTAGTTAAGTTTGTCTGTGAAGTTTTACAGCTCTATAAAAATGAGCTGACTGAATAAAGGACAGCAAGCCTTTTATTTTCAACAGACAACTCGGCCATTGTTGGTGTGTTGGACAGGAGCTCTTCGGCAAAAGCAAGGAGACTCCATTACTGTTCTGGCTCCATTGACCCGAGGGTATGGCAGGATACAGATGGACGCTGGAAATGGTGAAAGCTCCGAGGAGCCAGCTATACTGCACTCCTCACCTTCCTCTTCCTCCCTTTACTCTGCAGCAGGACAGTGGAGGGGACACACCCGCATAAAAACAGCACTGAAGGCCTCTCATGCACGCAGTACTCTCAAGCTGCCTGTCGGTGAAAAAAAACTCTGCCAGAAACGGGGTTTTGTCGGGGTTTTTGTCGGGGCCTTTTTGTGCCACGTAGCGTGCTTTAAAATGGCTTGATGGCGAAAGCGTTGCTGGTTTCGTCCCGGAAACGTTGTCCGTGGCTATTTTTCAGACTACCTGGCGAAGTTCTTCGGCCGGGGGGCGGGCAGGCACCTCACAATCCCTGAGGGCGAGTGCTCCGAGGGGCCCGGCCGGTTGCCCGTGAGCGGGAGATAGGGAGAGGGAGCCCGAGCCCGGCCAGCCACCGCAGCGGTGTGTAACCCTTCGCGGACGCTCTCCCAACTCCTTTCCCAGATGGACGCTGTCCCACTTCCCGCCCCCTCCACCGGGATGCCGCCTCCGTCCTGCACGGCCCCGGGTTGGTGGCGCGGACAATCCCGGTTTCGGCAGAGCGTAGGGCTTAGCGCCGCTCCGCAGGGAGTGCCGGGATCATGACTCAGCACTTCGGCATGCACCGCCGACTGGCCGGGAAATAAACTGGGAACTGCTGAGCGCCGCCCCTAGAGTCGCTGCTGGGAGAGGGAACGGTGTCTAAATTCGCGTAGGAGGTAAGAAGGGGGGACTGAAGTGGAGAGGGAATGAAGGAAGGTTTCAGCTCCCGAATCCAAAACCTCGCCACTTCCATCCGGTATTGCGTGTCTGCCTCTGGGCTGCCCGCGGGGCCGGAGCCACCTGCTCCCCTTGGTTGTGGGGCTGGGCTTCAGGATTCCTTGTGCCCCTTAGTTTATGTTTTCGGGTTGGTTTTTTTGTTTGGGTTGGGTTGGGTTTGTTTTTTTTAATATATTTTGAAATATTTTTGCCTGGGAGTGCCCCAATCAGTCAAACTTTAAACAAAAAAAAGCCAGTAACTCTCAGAATCCTTATTACTTATTTTGTGTGATTTTTCTTTCCTGGCTATATTGCGGAACATGAATTGGAAACGCTGATCCATCATTTTTCTGCGTGTTAATGTTCTGTCTGCTAATGTCCTGCTAGCTCTACATGTAAATACTAGGGTGAGCTGCGGCAAACCTAGGGAGCAGGTAGGTCTTGGGCCCTATGTATGTTAGTACTTAGCATCAAGTTGTTTTACTGGAATAGGGATTGATTGATTGTTTCTTTGCTTTAGGACTCTGTCGTCGTTTTTGTTTTTTTTTTTACCGTGTGTTTTATAAATGCATGTATTGGTAGAGTGTTCTAAGAATAGTGTAATAGTAAGCTGAGCAGGGGATGTGCAGGCGAGTGAGCAGTGTTTCTTTTCGTTGTAGTGCTGGGAGAGAGGGCCAGCCCAGCCTGCCCTCAGTGCAGAGCTGGGGAAGAGAGGTTACAGACGGCTAGTAAACGCAGCACATGTACAGAGGGTATTTCAGTGTTTGAAATGAAAATCTCTTTCCAAGAATGGCAGCAACACAGACTTGGAAACTCTTTTAAAGGAATTAGAATCATAGAATAGCTAGGGTTGGAAAGGACCTTAAGATCATCAAGTTCCAACCCCTCTGCCATGGGCAGGGACACCTCACACTAAACTATGTCACCCAACCTGGGTGTCCAACCTGGCCCTGAACACTGCCAGGGATGGAGCATCCACAACCTCCCCGGGCAACCCATTCCAGTGCCTCATCACCCTTACAGTAAAGAACTTTCTCCTGACATCAAATCTAAACTTCCCCTGATTAAGTTTGAACCCGTTACCCCTTGCCCTATCAGTACAGTTCCTAATGAAGAGTCCTTCCCCAGCATCCTTATAGGCCTCCTTCAGATACTGGAAGGCTGCTATGAGGTTTTCATGCAGCCTTCTCCAGACTTTCTCAGCCTGTCTTCATATGGGAGCTGCTCCAGTCGCCTCATCATCCTCGTGGCCCTCTTCTGGACTTGTTCCAATAGTTCCATGTCCTTTTTATGTTGAGGACACCAGAACTGCACACAATACTCCAAGTGAGGTCTCACAAGAGCAAAGTAGAGGGGCAGGATCACTTCTGTCGACCTGCTGGTCATGCTTCTTTTGATGCAGCCCAGGATACGGTGGGCTTTCTGGGCTGCAAGCGCACACTGAAGCTGTCTCATGATCATTTTCTCATCGACCAACACCCCCAAGTCCTTCTCTGCAGGGCTGCTCTGAATCTCTTCTCTGCCCAACCTGTAGCTGTGCCTGGGATTGCTCCGACCCAGGCACAGGACCTTGCACTTGGCATGGTTAAACTTCATAAGGTTGGCATCAGCCCACCTCACAAGTGTGTCAGAGTCCCTCTGGATGGCATTCCTTCCCTCCAGGGTATCAACCAAACCACACAGCTTGGTGTTAGTGCTGGATCTTGCTTCAGTTTGATTTGACAATGAAATAACTATGAAATTACAATGAAACTTGCCCCTGTTTTCTTAAAACTTTTTTTTTTTTTTGACTCAACTGCAGTAATTTGCTCTAAATTCTCAATTGTCGTTGTCATGTACAATGACAAAGCCCCGCCAGTAACTCAGAGCCATGCAGCCTCTTGATCACTCTCCCCCTTCTTTCTCCCCCCGCTCTGTGAGGAAGGGGGAGGAAAATGGAAAGAATGTAACTTGCACGGGTTGAGATAAGAACAGTCCAGTAACTAAGGTATAACACAAACCACTACTGCTACCACCAATAATGATAAGGGAAATAACAAGGGAAGAATGCAATTGCTCACCACCTGCTGACTCAGCCCGACAAGAGCAGCGATCTGGGCCTTCTATGTAACTCCCCCCAGTTTATATACTGGGCATGATGTGCTGTGGTATGGAATATCCCTTTGGCTAGTTTGGGTAAGGTGTCCTGTCTCTCCCCGCTTCCTGCGCCCCTCCTCACTGGCAGAGCACAAGACTGAAAATGCCTTTGGTCAGGGTAAATATTACTTAACAACATTACTTACTAAACATTACAAAACACATATTTTTAGTTGTTGGTATCAGCACTGTTTTAATGCTAAAGGTGAAAACACAGCACTGCACCAGCTACGAAGAAGGAGAAAAATGGCTGCTACAGCTGAACCCAGGACAGTCATAATTCAGTTTGTACCTGGATTATATAGGCTTGTTTAGGCAAGGATCAATGCAACTTAAGTTATTCTACTAAATGTAGTTCATTAAAGCATGTGAATAGAGTTTTGAAGTAGCTTTTAGCTAAACAAATTTAAAGTCTGATTTACTGTGAAGTTACATAATTTCTGGTTATAGCTATGTCGTGGTTTAAACCCAGTCAGGCAACTTGTTCACTCACTCCCAGTGAGTGGTGCCGGGCTGACAACCATCGAGGGCCCCAACCCCCACCGGGGCTCTCCCCTTCCCCGCTCCCGGAGGAACGGGGAGGAGGACCGAAAGGGTTCAACTCCTACGGGTTGAGACAAGAACAGTCCAGCAACCAATGTACAACACAAATCACTACCGCTACCACCAACGACAACAATGATAAGAGAAAATAACAAGGGAAGAGAATACGATACCACCGGCCAAGAAACGAGTTCCACCCGGAAGCCTGTGTCCTTCCAGGTAACTCCCAGTTACCCCCCACCCCAGGCATGACGTGCTGTGGTATGGAATACCTCCCTGGCTAGCCTGGGTCAGGCGCCCCGTCTCTGCTTCCTCACGGCTTCCCCTCCTCCCTGGCAGAGCATGAGCCTCACAAAGTCCTTGGTCAGGGTAAACATCACTTAGCAACAACCAAAAACATCGGTTTCACCAACACTGTTCCCAGGCTGGAAGTCAAAACACAGCACTGCACCAGCTACCACGAAGGAGAAACATGACTGCTACTGCCGAACCCAGGACAAGCTAACAGGCTGAGATCCGAACCTTTTTGATAGCAGCTTAAGTGAAGAGGGTGTAACTACACATGGGATTTCATATGAGTAGAGAAGGAATGTGAAGAACAATTATTGAGCTATGGGAGACCAAGTACAGGAAAAGCAGTCTATCATTTTTTTGGTGCACAGGCTCTGACTTGTGACTTGGGGATAGAGAACAGATTGTTGCATTTTTGTGTTCAGAGGCATATAGAAAATATAATCCCTGAGTCCAGATGCCCAATTATGAAAACAAGGTTTGACAGAACCAAGGAATCCTAAAACTGAGTGCTGAATGCTGTTGGGTTTTTGTTCACATACTTATAAGGGAGTCTTTATGGTATTCCTATGCCAAAGGTGAAATACTGTCTGGTAGCAAGATATGACTGGGAATATTTGGATGCTCCGCAGCTTCATGGTGTGGAGCCTTCTTGGGTGTTAGCCTTGTAACAGAGGAACACCTCCCTGCTACAGCCAGAGAATAATGAGCCCTTGGACTGCACATCAAGGAATAAGTGTGAACCACCGTGCTCTCTCCACTAAGAGCTGTAATAAGTAACTGCAAGGACTCTTTCCACCTACAATTGAAAGAAGCAAAGATATAAGCATGGGAGATGTTTGAAGGAAACAATAGAACCTACAGACCTCTTGAGGTCATGTAGCCCAGCTTTCTGCTTGGAGCAGGGCTGACTTCCAATTTAGAGCTGGGTTATTCAAAGACCAAATCTGGTCTTTGTTGTTGTCGTGTGTTTGGAGAAGAAAGTTTCAAATTTATTTAAAAGGGAACTCCTCAGAGAATTTCATCCACACTGGTGTTGGATGAAATCTTATTACAAGGATTATTATATTGAAGATTCTAGTATTACTAGCATTTGCTTTCTGCTTTCTGTTAGGGAGACCATTGGTTCCAGCAACATGGATGATGTCAGCTTGAAGTTCCATCAGCAGCTTCTGTTCATTGATGAAAGTCTGGTGGCTGAAGATGTAGCAGCTTTAAAATTTCTCTGTACTGACTTTCTCCCCTTCAGAAAACTAGAAAGGGTGAAGTCAGCAGTGGACATCTTTGAGCTTCTCATGGCTGAAGAATATCTGAACGAGAAAGATACTTTCCTACTAGCTGAACTCTTATACACAATTAAATGTCATTCCTTGCTCAAGAAACTTGGTTATACCAAGGAGAAAGTGCAGGAATGTCTGCATGAGAAGGGAAGAGTGTCTCCTTACAGGTAAGCTTGCTGCAGGATTCCACTCTCTCCATTACTTCCATCTATGCCACACTTTTCCCTTTCCATTTTTAAATTCTCAGATAGCTTTTAGTTTCTATACCATCTTCTGTTCTGCTTTTATCTTACTGGATCTCTGTTACAGGCAGATGCTGTATGAATTGTCAGAGAACATTACCAGTGACATGTTGAAGGATATCATATTCCTCCTGAAAAACTGTCTTCCAAAGCGACGGGTAACTCTGGTATGTGAAGAGAGACAAATATGTATATGGTGAGAATGGAAGAAGCAGGGGGGAAATAGGAGGAAAAGGATGAAGAGAAAAGTATTTGGTGGAATAGGGCATAATCTGCAGCTAGGCTGGTCAGTATTTATAGGGTTAGCAAGGAGGATTCTGTTGACAGATAAATATGGAATTTGGTGGTTTGTGCCAAGGTCAGTCACTGACAATCCACAGATCATAGAAGGGTGGCAAATCAAATCTTCACCCGACTTGAGCCATCTGCAAAGGAGATTCATGTCTGTATGTCTTTAGTACCATTTCCCAGCAATGAAGCCTTCTTAAAGCCAAGAGTCATTAAAATGGTTCGGGTGAATCTGTTTGAACAAGACCATATCAAATAATAACACAGCCAGTAGCTTTCCATGGAGCAATATTTCCACCTTCTACAGTGATGTAAAACTGACCCTTTGGACATTGTTCGTAGGAAGCAAAGTATATAATAGTGTAGGTTTTGAGTTCTAAGGAGCAATAACCAAATTCTTTCTTTTTGGCTGTCAGTCTGCTCTGGAATTGCTGATTTTATTGGAAAAACAGAGCCTTTTAACTGAGAACAATGTACAGATACTGGAGGAAGTCTGTATGCATGTTTCACCCAATCTCCTGGAAAGAGTAAACTGCTACAAAAGGGCAAAAGGTGAGAAATTCAGAGTCGGGAAGTATATTTGCTAGAATGCAGGAAGTACTAGAAGGGCTTGGGCAGCTGAACCTCAAGATCCTATGTTTGGATTGCTGGAACAGGAGCTAGAGAGGGATCACACATCTTCATGCACAAATTTGTCTTAACAGTCTCTAGCCTGTTTTACTTCCTACCTGAATTCCTGTAGCAACATACTGGAATATCTGAGGCCCAATAGAGCAGTCCAGCACATACAGAACAGGCTGGAAAACTGAAAATCTATTTATAGTTCTGTTGCACTTCTCCATTTCCCTATGAATAGTATTGAAATGATTTAAGAATATGCACTACAACAAGGCAGTTGCCTGCTAATAAGACAGTGAAGCACACTGTGTGCATGTGTATTTGAAGTGGTAGGCTCTGTTATTAAATGTGTGATACGCATTATCAGGGATTATACTGCAGTTTGTAATATTCCTTCATTTAGCATCCTGAAGTGACTATAAGCATACTGGGGAAAATGTTCTATTTATTTAAACACTGGGAAGCAAGTTCTGGGAAATACAAAGCTACTTGCACCCCAATAGATGCAACAGCACCAAGTGTTTTGTGAGTTCCATTCCCATGTGCTTTCTGAGCGTGTTTCAAAGTTGCTTTCTATTTTAATATATCTCTCCGTAAGCATTGGTACACATTTGCCTAATGTGCAGATTCATACTGGTTTAACTAGAAGGCACTTGTCTTCTCTCTTTTTGTCTCTTTCTGCTCTTAGTGTCTCTGCCTCAGCAGGAGAACACTCTGCCCATTGAGGAAATTTCACTGTCTCACACTGGAGATATCAAAGTATTCCCTTTCTCAGAGGTACACTGCACTACATATTGCAAGCTTGGGTTTTAGTGGTTTAAGGGGTTGGGTTTTTTTTGCCCTAATTTTGAAACCATACTGGCTGTGTTTTTGCTAAATCTTCTTACTTAGTTTAGGAACGGAAAAAGCATATTTTTTTCAGCACGTAAGAAATACAGTTGCATATAATATGAAATAGTGGAAGCCAAAACCACTAGTGGTCATGTGCAGCTGGGGGGGGGGATGATGTTAGAAAGAGAGAGCAAAAGCTAGATGGGGCCTTCTAGAGAATGGGTTAGTCAGTTGGTGCTGTGTCGTGGTTTAACCCCAGCTGGCAGCTAAGTACCACAAAGCCACTTGCTCCCTCCTCTCCCCCTTGCTTTGTGGGATGGGGAGGAGAATCAGGCAAATGTAAAACTAATAGGTTGAGATAAGAACAGTTTAATAATTGAAATAAATGGAAATAACAATAATAACAGGAAAAAGAGAGAGGAATAAAACCCGAGAAAAACTACTGATGCACAATACAATTGCCCACCACCTGCTGACTGATGCCCAGCCGGTTCATGAACAAGAACTCCCCAGCCAACTCTCCCCAGTTTATATACTGAACTTGATGTTCTAGGCTAGGGAATACTCCTTTGGCTGGTTCAGCTCACCTATCTTGGCGGTGCTCCCTCCCAGCTTCTTGTGTCCCATCCCATGGAAGAGCATGGGAAACTGAGAAGTCCTTGATTTAGGGTCAGCATTACTACTCCCAGTTTTTCAGTGTACCGGTCCTTAATCAGTTAAACTGTTCTTGCAACATGAGGAATCACACTGGGAAATTTACCAGGGCTATAACTGATGTCTTTTTTGGGGAAAAGGAGAGGAAAGGAGGGGGTGTCAGTCCAGCTGTGAATGAGGAAACCCAGTGATCTTTCTAAGGATACCTCCCAGCAGTGAAGTTCTAGTAGACAAGAGCTGAGGAAAGCGGGCTGTTTCATATTAGAAGGGTTTGCATTACTTCTGCTTTGAGCTGTATTTGCTCTACATGTCCCCAGGGTTTGGGGAAGCCTTCATGCGTGGCACTTGGCACAGTAAGAAAATAAATGTAGTTTTATTAAGGAAGCATAGGTTTAAAAGAATTTTAAAAGAAAAGTGAGTGTTTCCATAATCCTGATGATTGTATTTGATTTGTCCTTCAAATGATGAGAGCTCATACATTTTTTTCCATGCTGTATAATAAACCATTGACACTTTACTGTTAGAAGATGTTTCTACTTAGAACAGTTTATAGAATTCTATGAATTCTATATTTTTATAGAATTCACTATCCAAGATAATTTTTATAGGACCATGTTGGGACCTTCATTTTGTTTATAGTGACTGCATATACCTAGAGTGAGAGAATCATTTGGAAGTGAAAGAAAATTCTTTGCTGTTTTCCTTTATCTTTCAGAAAAAAAACATAGTTATTTCCACCTTTGTGAGATTTGCTGTAATTGGGAATTCTTTTGTAATTTCATTATTAAATGCTTTACTGTTCTTAGGAATTCAGTATTTTTCCTACTCTCTACTTAAAAAGCTTTGTATCAAGCCTATTTTGCTAAAATTGCGATGAAAACTTGTTACATATAATAAGGATTTTTAACATGATATTCCCCATATTCAAAATACAGGAGACCTCGATCAAGTCTATTGGTTCTAATATCAATGGTAAGGATTTCTGAAAGTATGTTTTGTTTTTATTTTCTTTACATAATGTTGCATCCCTTTACTTTCTCTGGGAAATTTCTAGCATTTGGATAAATGCAACGCACTTACTCTGCTGTCTTCTTGGAAGGCTGTTTTGCTTCCTGCACATATAGATGTGAAGGATTTCAGTTCTTGGAGAAAAGAGGCAGGAGAAAATTGGCAAATCCTTTGTATTTTGCCAGTCACTTACTAGAAACTAATGCGTTTTCTGGAAAGTGAAATAACGGTGGTCTGATTAGAAGCAAAGAGATTATTTCTTTCCTGAAAACAAAAACCAATTTTTTTTGTTTAAATATGGCTGGGAGGACAAGAGAACGGGACACTCCGATTGTTTATAAAACTGTGATGTTAATTTTTTGGGTGCAGGTCTTCACCTGTAACTTTTTTTGCTGTGTAGATTGTTACTTTGATGAGCTTGGGATTGTTGCATGTTAAAGATGGATGGTTTTGACCGCATTAATTAGAGTATGAATTGTACAAAGGGAGACAAGCATTTTAGGGCATTCAGAAGGAGAAGTAAATGAAGCAGCAATAAATAAAATTACATTTTTGGATCAGCTCTCTGAAAAGATTCTGTACAAATAACAGTGAGTAGTTTGCATTCATCTTTGTGACTCCACATCAAATAGACCAGCTGCAAAGTGTAGCAGTACAATGTCTGTCAACTCTTATCCTCTTTTAAGCTGTGTCAGTGCAGCCTTGCTCTGAAAGTCAGTCTGAGAGTTGGTATCAGTGCTTTGGGAACAAAACAGAACAAAGCAGATCTCTAGTAGGAGCTTCATTAGTTTACACTGCAGATCCTTCTTATAAGACAGTTAATTTCTAAGCTGATTTGCAAATGAAAAATTAATTTGAATGTCTCAGAGTCTATCCTTATACCATGGATGCTTTTGTTCCACAATGCCAATACAAATAGAAACCTTGCCTTTGTCACAAAAATAATATATATAATGAAAATAACTGGAGACATGTTCAGATTAGGTCCTTTGGACATGATGATGCTATCATGTATGGAGGAATTATTCCTTTCAATGAAACAGTATTTCAAATACAAAAAATACAGTACAATAGCTAAACTCATTTTTGCTACATCCACCAATATTGGGTTTCTCTTCATAAATATCTGTGCTGTTTTGGTTTGATGGGTTTGTTTGTTTTTTTTCTAGATAACAAAGAAGCATGTCTTACCCAAGGCTTCTCTGAAATAAGGGTGGAGCCACCTGGAGGACTCAGCAATGCAGAAAGTGAATCCAAGGTTTGAGACAATCTCTTAAATCTTTCTCTTTTTGAATACCTGGGTGTGTGAGGTCTAGGTGTGTAATGACATTGATCATGCAAGGACACATGACATGTCTGTGTGTCTCATGAAGTTTTTTGAATTGTCTGGTCAACTGGAATGTGTCAGAGAATATTTTAACCTTGGAGACCAGAAATTTACCAGTATTGGAAGGTGTGGTGGAGGCAAAACAGGCATAATACCTTTGACATTATCCACACATTAGTGCACCTGCTTGTCTTCCTGCTACAGGCAAAACAGTGGCATTTTCTTAGGTTGTGCATTTTGGAGATGGCAGCAGAATGGGCAAGACAAAAACGTAGCTTCACGGTTCTCTTTCTGAATCTGGCTTAGAAAAAGCTTCAGAGCATCTTGAAATTAAGTCACAAGGGGTAGTATGCAAAGACCTTGTGAGAAGAATAAGGGAAGGCAAGAGTTTTTAGTAAGCTACTGCAGGCTTATAACAATCTTCCTCAGTAAAACGTAGGTACAGCAGAAAATACCTCTTCTGTGAGATCCCTTCTTAGAAGCCGTGTGTACACTCGTTAACCTTGCACAGCAGTGTAACCACTGAATTCTCTCCCTGGCTTTTTTCTCTGGCATGGATATTGAGGAAGCAAGTTGCTGTGGTGGTTTATAGTCATTTAATTTTTTGAAGTTCTGTGCTGTAACATATCTTTTCATCAACTGCTTTTTAGACTTCTGTAGCAAAGGTACTTGTTCCTGCTGTTGCAGGAGCTTGGAGTGCTACCTTCATTTTGTTCTACTAAAATGCACAAAAGCAGGTGTGCTTTGCTCTTTAGTGAGCAGAAAGGAACTGGAGTGGTGAAAGTTTTTGATTTCAGTCCGAGGTTGAACTTGAAGAGATGGTGATGGTCATTGAAGTTCTGGTGACTTTTCAGTTTCTAAAATGTTCTTTCTTAAGAGCGGGAAGTGGCTTTTTAAGTCTCAGCAAAACTGGTAGCGTAGCATGTTTATGCACTTGTGTGACCTCTGTTCTGCTTGTATGCCTTTCCATTGGATCAGTGTGAGCCACCATCTCCACGTATTCATGGTTGCTTTTGAAAAAAACAACTCAGATGTCTAACATTATACAGGTTCATTGTGAACCCTCTGCCATCTGAAGTTAAAACATTGTCATGACCTTTGAAACATTGGGGACTTCTGTCCCCATCACCAGTTCAGACTGCAGAGTTGGCTGCTGGATCCTCCCTTTTCCATACAGATGACCAACCCAGCTGCCAAACCCTTCCTCTGCACTTTGATAGTATGGTGACAGAGTGTGCTCAAGGTTTCACCCATGTCTTTTCACACAAGAACGCATCATTGAGTTGCAGCTTTTCAAAAGTAGCATACAGTTTTAGGTGCCTCTAATTTTTGGATGCCAATTTTGAGGTGTATTAAGGAAATAGGAGTAAGTTGAATAAATTAATTGAGGCTGTAAGCTTTTTTTCCTCTCCTTTCTACAGAAGATGAAAAACTACAAGATGGATGGACCACACAGAGGATTTTGTCTTGTTATTAATAATGTTAAATTCGATAAGTCTCTTAGTGAAAGGAAAGGTTCTTTCAAAGATGCTGGTAAGTTACTGAAGTGTGATTTTTGGAAGATGAGTCTCTGTTTTGCCATGCGAGTCAAATATTGCTCTGTTTTTTTATTGTCTGTATTTTAGTTAATATTCTGAAAGAGTAAAATGATATATGTTAATTTGTCATTTGTGTATCCTAGGGGAGAAAGGGTTAAAGGAAAAGTAACTACGGTTTCTGACGCAGTTGGATCATTCTTGAATAATTTTGAGAATCTCTTTACTTACCCTTTATCTATATAATAAAGAACTAAAACTAAAGCTATCGTTCTACATCATATAATGCAAAATTCCATAATCAAGCAACTCTGTGCGTACTTCTTATTCTGTTCCTTTTATTTATCTATTGTGTATGAAACTCTAATATTAGTTTCACTAAACTGCAACTGGAAAGTAATGATGTGAGGAAGGTTTTGAAGAATTTTAACTGAAACTGTGATGGGGGGACTCCTCATATTTTCCGGTGTCATTTGTGAGCTCACTTAGTATGTCATTATACACTGTAAAATGTCATTATATTTTCTGAAACTTTTCTAGAAAAATCCAGGAACTCTGAGCTGATGCCATCTTTTTTTATTCCTGTTAACCTTTAGTTGATCCTAAAGGTTATATATATATATATTAATATATATATATATATATATACACACCCTTTATATAGTATAAGGGTGAATCTGCAGAAGGTGTAAGGTCTTTCCTGGTTCATATTAATTTGCATAGTGACTTTATAAAATTGTTTACTAGTGCCTCAGTTTCTCCTTTTATCTTTATTTTAAATTACAGAGGAACTGGAGAGAGTATTCACATGGCTAGGTCTGGATGTGAGGACTTACACAGATCTGACATCTCAGAAGATTAAAGAACTCATGCAAACTTGGCAGCAGTTGCAAGATCACAAAGACAGGGACTGTTTTATATGTTGTATTCTATCTCATGGAGAGTCAGGAGCAGTCTATGGGAAAGATGAGGAGCTTGTATCAATCCGCACAATCATGTCCTACTTCACTGCAACACAGTGTCCACAGCTGGCAGAAAAACCCAAACTGTTCTTTATCCAAGCATGCCAGGGTAAAGAGATACAGTGTGCTGTCCCTGTTAAAACTGATGCACGAATTCCAGACTCGTCTTCCATGCAACAGAGCTTTTCTCCTTCTGAAAGTATTCCTGAAGAGGCTGATTTCCTCTTAGGCATGGCCACAATTGACGGATATGTCTCCTTCCGGCATATTCAACAGGGTGCTTGGTATATTCAGGCCCTATGTAGCAAGCTACAGCTGTTGGTACCAAGGTAAATACTTTGCTTAGCTCTTCCATGAAGAATTGGGAGGGACTTCGCCCTTCTCTTTAACTCCAAAGGGAAATTCACATAGGAACTCTAACCCATGTTCTGAGGTGGACAGTATTACTTAAACTGATGATTTGTTTGCTTGTACTGATAAAGTTACATTTGTGGTGGATTGACCCTGGCTGGACACCAGGTGCTTACCAAAGCCACTCTATCAGTGGTACAGGGGAGAGAAAGTATAATTAGAGGTTCATGAGTTGAGATAAGGACAGGGGGAAATCAATTCACAAATTACAGTCACAGGCAAAACAGACACAGTTTAAGTGAAATTAGATCTGATTTATTGCCAATCAGAGCAGAATTGGATACTGAAAAATTAAACCAGATCTTAAGCCCTCCCCTCTCCCTTCTCCCTGGGCTTACCTTCACTCCTGAATTCTCTGCCACCTGTCCTGCAGCAGTGCAGGGGGACAGAGAACGGGGATGCAGTCAGTTCGTCTTTTTTCTGCTGCTGCTTCTCCCTCAAGTTGAGGACTCATCACACTCTTCCTCTGATCTAATGTGGGATCCCTCCCACAGGAGACAGTGTTCCACAAGCTTCTCCAATGGCTGCAGTTCTTCAGGAACTGTTCCAGCATAGGTCCCTTCCATGGGTGCAGTCCTTCAGCAGCAGACTGCTCCCATGGGGGTCCCCCACGCCTTCACAAGTCCTGCCAGCAAACCTGCTCGAGCCTGGGCTCCTCTGAACATGGATCCACAGGTCCTGCCAGGAGCCTGCTCCAGTGCAGGCTTCCCATGGAAACAGTCTCTATTGGGCACCCACCTGCTCTGGTGTGGGTTCCTCCATGGGCTGCAGGTGGATATCTGCTCTCCCGTTAACCTCCATGGGCTGCATGGGCACAGCCTGCCTCACCACAGACTTCCCCAGGGGCTGCAGGGGAATCCCAGCTCTGGTGCCTGGAGAGCCTCCTCCCCTCCTTCTGCACTGATCTTGAAGTGTGCAGAGCTGTTGCTCTCACATATTCTTGCTGCTCTCTCCAGCTGCAATTGCTGCTGCTCAGTAGCTCTTTCCACTTCTTAAATGTGTTCTCATGGAGATGCTACCACTATTGCAGGTGGGTCTGTCTTGGAGCCAGCTGGCATTGGTTCTGTTGGACACAGGGGAAGCTTCTAGCAGCTTCTCGCAAAAGCCACCCCTGTAGCTACTCCTCCCTTCCCACTGCCACATAAACACAGTAAAATATTAACCCTGCTAGTGCCATAGAGATAATCTGAGGGATGTGAAGTTTACTGTAAAATCCTCTAAACCTCCTATCTTTAAGGCAGAAACATCTGTTTCTTGACTGGATTTAGGTAAAAATACTTTAATCCATTATTTTTCTTTACTGGTTAAATCAAGCAAGCCAGGAAGAAAAGGTCTTTTGTTTTTCATATGACTTGAGAACGAAAGAGGAGAAATTTGGAGGAAAGGATCTGGTTTTTGTGTTTTAAATGTTTGTACTGTACCTTCTAGGTGATCTGGGAGGTGTTCAATGGAGTGCCTTCTGCTTGTTAATAACTATTTTTTATTTTTGCTTTTGCTCTCCTTATGTCTGTAGGGGTGAAGATATTTTGTCGATTCTTACAGAAGTTAATGAAGATGTGGCCAGACGTGTTGACCGCTTAGGCACAAAGAAGCAGATGCCCCTACCAGCATATACCTTAACAAGAAAACTTATATTCCCAATACCTAGAGACCCTCCTCCTTCACAGCAATACGGAGGCTTTTGAAATACATCCTTTTATCAGTGCATTTCACTTAAATGCAATTCACCACACAACCTGTTTTAAGGCAGGTATCCAGAATCCTGAGGAACTGTTAGCTTCAAGGCAAAGTGTCATAATTTTTTTTCCATCCTGGGAAACTGGAGGAGATGCAATTAAAACAATCCATGTGCTAGCTAATTACATCATTATATATCAGGGCTGGAGAAACATGCTTCAGTCATGTTAAATGTTTGTACCTGCAAAGATTACAGATACAAAAGTGTTTTTTCTGACAGCAGGAGGGTTGCAGGTAGCTTTCTATATCTAGTCCAGTATTGTTAGCAGTCTGGTTTAGGCTCATTGTGATTTAGTTTGCAGGCTGTCAATTTCAAATCCCACCTTCAAATCCACTAGGTATATTCACAGAGAAAGACAAAGGTGGGAAGGAAGAGGAGAAAGCTTAATTAGTAAGTGGAAAAGGACTTTCACCTTAATTTAAATTATGTTTTACTTAATGGAGAACTAGTTAAGTACTGAGATCAGTAGTTTGTTCCATGATGCACACTGGTACAATCTAATGGCTAATTTAAACCTCATGTACCAGGACATCTTTCCAAAACTGATTAAAGCCAAGATGCTACATAGTATTTCCTTTGTGAAACCTTGTGAACTGTCGTTCGCCCATCACTTATGGAAGAAGAGTTAGGGTAGAAGATTTGCACACTATGCAATATGATATTCAGTAGCGTATCTGTATAGGTTTATCAAATCGAATATCTTAAGCATTAAATTTTCTGATTATCATTTCCTGTTTTAAGATCTAAAATGCAGCCACATGAGAAACAGAGCTCTTTGCTTAAGTTTGTAATAGAGCATTTTGTGAGTTAACTGAAATTTGTCACGCTGTTTTGTTGAGTATTTATTACGTATGCCTGTGCCCTTCCTGTTTGTTACTGCATTAAATTCATACTTCTTTTTGAGAGCTTGGAGAGGTAAAAATAATGTACTGGGGTAAGCCTTATCTTTGTTTTGGACTGGCCCCTGCACTTTTGGGCACTGCTTTAGTCGGTGGGTTTTAAATACCTCATGATTTAAGCTGAGGTGAAACTTCAGCAAAACACTGGTTGTTGTAGATGATTAATAACTGTAATTTAGGGTGAAGATTTGAAAGAGGGCTGTGTAGTGCTGTTGAATGCAATTTTTAGCTTGTACTCTTCAGGATTTGTAGGAGGGGAGCTTTGCATCGTACACAGCATTGAAATGCAGCCAGTTGCCAAAACATAATGGTTGTTTTTTTATCATGATAGTATGTGACCCATCACATTTTGAGTCTTCTGAGCTGCCATGCTTGAAGTCACATCTGTGCCACAAAATAGAATATGGTTTACCTTTTAGTAGAATTTATAACATACTGTAGTAGAATCACAAAGTTTCTGGCTCAAAATTACTGCTCGTACTTGGTGCACTCTTGTATGTTTGGGTGACAGTGGAATTTTTATCACTACAGAGTAAACATAATTTTGACCTTGTTTTGTGGGTTCTTTCATTTTTAAGTTTGGTGGACAGAGAACATCATTGTGTCGTCTTGCTTTCTCTGTAGAGACTTCTGTGTGGGTAATCTCAAGTGTAATCGTATGTAAGTAAAAGCAGTCAGAAGAGTCTAAGCTGAGTTCTGCCTTGAGTTACCTGGGGAGAGGGATCCACCACTCGTGAAATAGGAAAAACTGATAAAGTCTCCCTCACTGATCATGTTTGTTCAAACACAGTTTACACTACCGTGATTTATATTTACTATTCAGTGTGAATATTTTGGTTGGGTGTGCTGAGGGTTGTGTTTGTATGGCTTGAGCACTGTAATACGTGGGGTGTGCAGCGGTACTCTGTCAGCACAAGCCCAAAGGTGGGGTAAGCTTATCACTGTAATTGCAGCTGCCATTCAGCAGTGTTGTTGGATGTTTCTGCCTGATCTCCTGTGGTGTATTTTAAGGTAGCAGTTTGAAAGTCTTGGGCAAAGTGGGTGGGCTTTATGCAACTTGGATATTAGTTACTCCTTGCTATCTGCAGTATACACCTTCAGTGTTACTGCGTAATGCAGATTGCATAGCTGTGTAATTTATGGTAATGTAGAGCTGTGCCAGAAGGAAATCAGCCGCAAACAAACAGAAGTGGTTGGTTTTCTTTTCTACAGAGGCATAGGCACTTGTGCATGCTCTCCACCTACAGGATTAAAGAAGGGTTGTGACTTGTGCAAGCCTTGTTTAGACAGATACAAGTGGAACTAGTGTAAAAGTCTGTTTGTGAAGTTTGTAGCTTGGGTAGATCATGATCTTAAAGTAGGGTTTATTACCCTATTTATTTTTGAGTCTCTGGTATCCAGTCCCTCCTGACTCAGTGTTTGTGCAGGAGAATGTCTATCCTGCCTTGTGCCAGTAGAGGCCACAGTCACTACAGTTGTTGAGTAATCAAGTAGCCTTAGCATTTTGCTTCCTCAAGACCAGCCTTTCTGGGAGAGGTGAATTTTTGACAGGTTTCTTCACAAGGAATAGTTTGGGTCACTGAGACACTTCCAGAGGAAGTTGGAGGGACAAGACTTGGATGCAGGAGAGCTGAGGAAAGTTGGAGAGACCAAGTTAACAAAAGGAGAGGAACATTCTGGGGAAGGGTGAGAGAAGAAGAAGTGAAACAAAAGAGAAAGCGGAAGAGCAGTGCCAGAAGGGCTGGTCCTCGAAACTGGAGCATGATGGGAGAAACTTACATCTAGAAAGAGCCAACTTGGGCTTGGTTTTGTCTGCAAATACTTTACACAGTGCTGATTCTCAGCATGCTTCATCTTTCAAACTGAAACTGGAGTCTTGATTCAGTTAAGACAGAGGAACTGATTCAGGAAGAGAGATGCTGAGGCATGGGATGACACGGAAATAGAACCATTTTGGACCTGAAGATCATGTAGTGCCCCTCTGCACTGCTCCCAGCCTTTGGATAAAAGGACAACTCCTGGACTGAAATAAGTCACACGTTTTCTGACCTGTTACTAGCACACACTTTTGGGGAGGAATTTGCACACCTCATCGTATTGAAGGGTATGTTACAATGTTGAGTTTGTAAAGATGGATGGATGGAAATCAATGAATGATTTGTTTTTCCTTGCAAAATTTTGACAGATTTTGGCTCTCCTACCTGTCTCTTTTTATAATGCTGACTTCACAAGCCTCAGTGTCTGGTAGTTGTACTGATTGCTAATCATATATTTTCTGCTGCAGGGAAAATTGTGGTGGCCAGCAGGTCATACTCAGAACCTTATCGTAGGAGCCAGAGTTCTGTGCTTCAGAGGGTGAAAATGCCAAAAGTTAATTATTACCGCTTAAATTCACTTTAAACGGGGAAGTATATTATGTCAGTAATTTCAAAGGAATGTTTAGCCTTCCAGTTCCCTGTATTCACTGCTAGTGAATTTGGTACTAATAGTTGACTTTTTCATAATTTAGGAAATAATCATCCAAGAAATTGCAGCCTGTCCTTGTATGTAACTGATGTGAAATTATTATTAGTAGTAGTATTAGTATTAAATAGTTTGGTTGTTGTATCTTTATCTTAGTAGAGTGGGAGAAAAAGAAGCAATTGAACATTGTTTTAGTGTGCTCCCTGTATTTACAGGCAGCCTTAAATAGAGAGTGTAGGTGTCACATCTGTTCTAATTGCGATAATTCTGTGGGTTTGAAACAGCCTTTGAGAAATAAAAGTGAAAACTTCCTTTACCAGACAGACTTACTTTTTATAAGCACATGCCTTGTGTCTTAAACAAAACACATGATTTATGTGAGAAAGAAGATCATTTCATAACTAGGTACCAAAAAAGTATTCTTTTTTCCTGTGTGGGTATAGAAATAGAATCATAGAAAATAATACAGTCAGATCTGAGATAATTGAATTGTGAGGTTAAGCACGTATGATTCATTCAGGTACTAATGGTTTTGTGGTATGGATTCTAGTTTGTTTAAAAGTTAGTTTGAATGAACTGAAAGGGAACAGTATTTGGGGACAGAGCATGAATCGCATGTTCTATCACAAGGCAAATGTTTTGCTATTTTATCAGGTTTTTGATAGACAAAGTTTTAAGATTCAGTTCTATGTTCACTCTTGCTAACAGAATCCTGACCTGTATTTTATTTGAATATTAGAAATTCAGAGCTGGCAACTGAGTTTGATTTGATGCAGATAATCCAAAGCAGGAAGAGGTGCTTTAGCTGTTCTGACCAAGGTCAGAAACATTGTATAAGGAAAGGAGAAGCCAGATAGCTTAGAAGACTTACTCATGTGGATTCTTAGGTTTGTTATGATATATCAAGATATATCTTACCTCTGTTATGGGGTAAAACCTGGCAGTCTCATTTACCACGTACTTTGGTTTTGAGACTGGCAAGTGGCTCATGTTCCCAAATGGGATCAAACCTAAAAAAACCCAGTCAAAACTAAAACAGCAGCTAAGCATCAAACCTGTGATAGCAAGACAGCCCCTCTCCACTGAAGTACTTTCAACAGCATGTTATTATTTTAGGCTATTCTAAATGATGTGATACCTTTTATAACCATGTGTTGCGCTACTCCTACTGACAAATCAACTGCTGTTTGTGTTTAGATCCAAATCTTGATGTGAAATGGGTACGAACTTCTACAAACTCCTTTTTGACATTTCTGAGGCTTTGGTCGCAGATGACCTTGCGGCTATGAAGTTCCTCAGCGTGAAGCACATTCCCATGGGGAAGCAGGAAGCCATCCAGGAGCCCAAGGCCTTCTTGAGAGAGCTGCAGGAGAAAGGCATGATCAAAGAGGGGAACCTGTCCTTCCTGAAGGAGCTGCTCTACCGGATCAATCGGATCGACCTCCTGGAAACCCAGCTGGGCTCTAGCCGACAGGAGATGGAGAGGGAGCTTCAGATCCCAGGCAGGGCAAAGGTGTCAGCCTACAGGTAAGCGGAGAAGTATTAAAGCTTTGCATGCAAAACGTACAACAGTTTTGTGTCCTGTCTTGTTTTCTGTCTGCACCGCCGTTTTATGAATATCCCAGCAGAATTGTATTTATCGCCACACCACTATGTGCCATTGTGAGTTTTACATTTTGCAGTTCACATGTGTAATTGTGCTGTTTACTTCTCATAACTTTCATAATTAGGCTTTTTCTATTCTTTATTGCCAGGCAACTGCTATATGGAATTGCAGAGGACTTGACTCCAGAAGATGTAAAGTGCGTGAAGTTCCTGCTCCGAAAACAAATACCCAACAGCAAACTCCAGGATAATGCTGTATGCAAAGTGTTCTTGCTCAAGTGATCTTGCTAAGTTTCTTGAAAGGCTAGTTCAAGAGTTTGCTAGGTCTTATAAGAAAGGAAAGAGAAAGCAGTCTGCTCTCTCTAAAATCTGTTGTTGGATCAACTGTGATGTTAGCTGATAGGTGCTGTGTTAAAGAATGGACCCTTTTTTCCTCATTGTATTTTTTCTCTGCCCTTTTTTGCTTTCTGTTTCCTGTGTTCCCACCATCACCAGTCTCCCTAATCTTTTCTTCTTGCAAAATCCATCATTCTCTTCATTTCATCTTTGCTTGGCGTTTATAAGACGTGTATCTGCTGTATCTAGGAAGAATGATGTTTGCTGGAGGAAAAACAATGTTTGGGAGACAGAAAAATCAAGTTTTAATGCGAGTTCAGCTGTAAATTTTTGTGTGTCACTGGGTACATTTGCTTCTCTATTGTAATTTGGGATAACAGCATTTTGTTAACTCCCCCACAAAAGTATGAAGAGATCTGATGAGCTTGTTTAATACTTGTATTGCAAATAATGATCAGTTATAAAAACGCAACCTTAGTGATATTTTTCTTTGGTTGCATTGCATCCCAACCCTTGTTTTAATGAGGTTTGAAGGGGAAAAAAACCCAGTCTTTAGCTGGTCAGTCTCTGAGAATGATGATATCTTCTGCTTTGTCCAGATGTGCCTGATACTGCAGTTAATGACGGTCGCTGTATGAGTTTGGGTTATGTGTGTTTGTTTTACCAGTCAATGTTGAAGGTCTTACTGGAAATGGAAGGAAAAGCGTTAATTAAAGAAGATGACCTGTCAATGCTGAAAGATATATTAAAGGGATTTAGAGCTGACATAATGAAAAAAATTGTTACCTTTGAAGAACAAAAAAAAGGTAAATTATTTAACCTGTTGTTTAAGAGTACAGCTAGTGTCTGTGTGTGTCTATGTTTGTGTGTGTGATTTTTGTGGCTTCATCCTTGGCAGCTTAGGAGTCCAGAGGTAAGAGAGAGACCTTACAATATCCTAGGGTAGGCAGAGTGGCTCTTGGTACGTGCAGTTTCTGAAGTTTTCTGTTTCTTGTAACCATTAGCTAGTGTGTAACCATTAACTTTCTGTACTAGATGTGAGATTTCAAAGACTTAAGTATATCTGGGCTGTTGCAGCTGAGGTGGTGACTTCTTCCACCACAAGTGGGTCTTCTCTTTTTGGGAAACAGGATGTATCGACCAACAGCAGCTGAGACCTACTAAATTTTTCCTCAGAACCGCCTTTTGGATGACTCAGGTCACGTGTTTCCTTAGACACATTACTGCAGATACACCAGCCAGTTTCCCCAGCATGTCTTTGCACTGCTGACCTGTGCTTGTGTCTGTAAAAGAGCAGAAGAAAACTGCTAAGCCCTTTGTCAGGGGAACGTATTTTTAGTCTTGCTATTATTATTTTGCCCCCCTTGATAAGCAGAAAAAGAACATGTCTTATAGATCTTGATGCCCTGACAATTAAATTCCATTTAAACACATATGTGTAACTTGTAAAAGGCCAAAAAAAAATCTGTTTCCTTTGTTTCAAAGTCATTGGTTTGATTTCTTCACTTACTTCAGACACTTGTGTTTGAAGAAGTGTTTTGCTGCTTTGAGGAGATCCTCTGTTATACAGGTATTCTGCATCTTTGGTGTGTCCACCCAAATGGTAGAGCTCTCTGGAGATGAGACAATGGCATCAGAAGTAAACGAACTAGCTGTAGTATATCACTGTGCAAAAATGCGTCTCCTCTTTTACTTACATATCCCATAATGGAGATGGTAGTGAATGGCTTGCCTGGGGTGCTTACTCACATTCAGCCCTTTATTCTCTGAATCTTGCTACCAGTAATAGAGGAGAGAAGAAGAACACAGTTCTGCAGAGCTCCAATAACCAGTAGTCTGTGAAACTGGGACCATGTTTGGCCCAGCTCTACAAAAGGATGGTGTCTCAGTGGTGTGGGAACCATTCTCCAGCTCACTCCTTGTACTACTTTTTTTTTTTTTTGAGTGCTGAAATATGCACAGTGGAAGATTTATGGGTTTAGACCTAAAATGTTCTGTTTATCTTCTCCCTTATAGAAAATGATTCTAAGGAAAAACTCCACTATGCAGCGCTTGTATCTGTGCATCCAGCAAAACAAACAGCAGAGAGTGAGACACAACACCTGGTGAGAAATACCTCAAGGTTACTTTTAAAGTATTTATCCAAGTTCTGGGAGGGGGCAATATAAATTCTTAAGACTGAGCAGGTGGACGAGCTGAAAGCTAGGGATTCTGGCTTTATATGTAGGTCTTGTAACAATTCCTCATTTCAAAACAAGACCAACCCTTGTTCCTTATTGAGGACCTGGCTGTCAGCAATCTTTTGGCAAGAAATGAAGGAGTAGCTGTTGTGTGAAAAAAACTGATCTTAAGAATAATGGAGACTGGGATATTGAAGTCCTGCTCAGGACATTCTTGGACATATGCGAAGGGAACAGCAGAATCTGCTACCTCACTAGAAACCCACCAGGACTTTTAGAGGGAATGGTAAAGTGCAGGAACTTTTCCTCTGCACATGTCAACTTACCTTTCTGGATACTTGCTTTCTCCCATGCCAAAATCATATCCTAACCACAGAGTGAAAGGAGAGGGAGGATTCAGAAAGACAAAGCAGATTTCTCTCTCCTGTAGCTAGCTTTTAGTTTAAGGCTTTTCCTTTCTTGTATCTTGGCCCTCATGATTTTTTTTGCTCTTGGACATGAAGGGCCAACAATCTGTGTATAGCATATTTCTCTTCTGGATGTTTGGCACTGCTTTCTTATCCACTTTTTGTTTCTACAGTCTGTGGAATCATATAAAATGAAAAATAACCCTCATGGTTACTGTGTGATTCTTAACAACTACATTTTTCAAAATGTGTGTGAAATCAGACAAGGAACAATTGAAGATGGAGGTAAATACTTTTTTAATCCAGTTACTGGTTTGTTTGGTTTTCTCCTCTAATAATTCTCTAACAGAATTATCTAAACTTTCCTGTGAAGAAGAATCATGTCCACTGAGTTTCTTTGCCTCCAGAGTAACTGGAGTGACAGTCACTGTAGAAATCAGAAATGTGCCACTTCCAGCAGTTCAGCTGATGGCTTAAAAGAAGAAACTGTTTTCTGTTCTAGGTAAGAAGCATCATCCAAATAGTGAAGGAGGCATTACTATTGTGCCTTTTCACTTTTTGGTTGTTTTTAATTCTTAGTTATTATGGAGTTAAGTTTTTAAGTCCTTAAATTCTCTTTAATGTTCAAATGCTACTGCTTTATAATTTTCTTTAAAGCCTGTCTTCTTGCAAGAGTCACTTTTAAAATAAACAAAAATTTATCTTAAAGTAAAATCTGTTTCGTGAAAGCACACATCACTGGTATTTGAACTCCATTCAGCCTGTTTACAAGCTGCTTGCTTCCCAGCTTTGTCACTACCCACACAACCATTTAGTCTACATTTGATGATAAGTGTGCATAGCATTTGTTAGAGGGTTACTCTCCCTTCCTTCTTGCTGTATTGATAATTCTCACAGGATGAGGGACCTACTTCACTTAAGATTGCAGAGTTTGTCATTCTAAAGAGTTATCTCTTTAACTTGCTAGGTGTTGTTCTTAAGTATCTGAGATTATTAGGCAATGCACAGTTAAAGCTTGATTTAACATTGTAAACTTTACTAGCTTTTGCCAATTAGATAATCTGAAATGGGGGGGGGGGGGTAGATAGTGTGATGCTTAACCCAGTTGTGTTAAAAAACAGGCATTTGGGTTTTTCTAATCAGATTTGGCAGGCTAAGAGTCAGGTGAGTTTATTGCTGGGATCTGAACACCTGGTAATATCTGATTATCACAGAAACACTGATGTTTCAGCATTTTCCTTGCCACTGTTTAACAAGTGCCTTTTGGCTTTTTTTCTAGAGGCTGTGAAGAGGGTCTTTGAGTGGCTTCAGTTTGAGACAGTTGAGCACATGGATCTAGAAGCAAAGCAAATATATGAGAAAGTTAAAACATACAGTGAAAAGGATCATAGTAACATGGACTGTTTCGCTTGCTTCATTTTTTCCCATGGTGAAAAAGACAAAATAAAAGGCATTGATGATCAGTTTGTAAATATTAAAGATTTAGTCTCCTGTTTCAGTGGATCCAATTGCCCTTCTCTTGCTGGCAAACCCAAGCTGTTTTTCATCCAGGCTTGCCAAGGCTCTGTAGATCACCCACCTGTCACAGTAAAAGAAGACTTTTATAGCCACCTTGAGATGGATGCTACCCCTCTGATTTCCATTCCTGATGAGGCTGATATTCTGGTTGGCATGGCTACAGTGGAACACTACAAGTGCTATCGCTGTACAAACACTGGAAGTGTTTATATACAATGCCTCTGTGAAAAGATGAAGTTGCTTTGCCCACAGTAAGTACTGGTTTTAATCCATGTACATTTGGGGTGCTGCAGGCATACATTCATAACTGTGCTGTGCTGAAACAGCAGTGTTTTGCATTTGTGCTATAAAATGCTTTTCACCTGCAGTAATTGTTCTGGAACTAGGCATTGCTATTCTTCTAGAGATGAACCAAAGCGTAAGTGAATTCCCCTAGTTTGCCTGTGAAAGAATATGGGGTGTAATGCTGGAACACTGCCTATAGACAAGTGTGTGTATGTGTGTGCATGTGTTTTAATATTTTTTGACTGATAAATGATTTTTCGTCCAGTGAAACCTGATGGGAGGCAAATTTGTTGAGTGATTACACAGATGAAAAAAAAAAGTGTTCCTTAGTCATAACTTTCATTGTTGCCTCCCTCCTGTCCCCATCATAAACTCAATTCAGAAAATAGAATTTCTCTTCAGGCGTCACTTTCTCCAGAAGAGGGCATGTAGAATTCAGTAGAATGCATAGGTCTGAATCTGTCTCACCTTAGTGTGCTCTTCTGAATGTAACCAAAGCAGGGGACTGTGTTTGCTGGTAAAGCAATGCTACATGGAGGATGCTTTTATTCCCTCAAACACACTGAAATCAGTGGTTACACATTAGAGTGTGCAAGTTTCAGGACAGGCAGGGTGAGAGGAAAATGTTAGCCTTCCCTGAGATAGCATTTTATTGGACCAAACACAGATCAGCCTCTTGGCTTAGCCGCAAGTACCGTGTATCTCAATGTAATGTTTCTTCATTTTTGTTCAAGTGGCAAGGATCTCCTCACCATCCTGACAGAAGTGAGCAAGGAAGTGGGAAGAAAAGATTTAAATGGATGGAAGCAGATGCCAAAGATAACATCAACCCTACGGAAGCAATTGATCTTCCAAATTCCATAATGTCAGTCAGTCAAAATGGAGAAAAATAAGAATACACTCGGTTAGGAATCACATCTGAAATGGGCTTTCTTGGGGAAAGGAATTTGCAAGTGAAATTATCCTGATCTATGTGTTTGGCCCCAGCCATTGTATCTAAATTTTCCGATTCCCATGTTTAATCAGTGTCCTGAAACCTGGATCTGCAGCAGCCTGGGAAGGCCACAAAGCAGTACAGATCTGACTTTCTGTCCTGCATAGCAGTGGAGTCTGCTCAATCTGCACTTCAAGGGAGGAAGCACCTGCAAGTGTAATGATTTTTTTAGGAGTTATTAGATGCAACAGAAGTCCTAATTCTGTCCAAGTTGTTGTAAGTCCCTGAAATCTTCAGAAAAGAACAGATGGATTCAGAATGCTGATCCCTTCCAAGGGAGCATGTGCAAGATTGTAACTGACTTGGCCACAGGTGAATCATTGGCTGTTTCTGGAAGCTGTGTAATTTTTCACAGAAAATAACATGCTTGTGCAGAAGGACCAAAGAAAGAAGAGATGATTATGATAATACAAGTTTGGTTCTTTTTCTCCAAATATTTGGTTTCCCTTGGTTTTAATTTACTTGGCTAAACAGCACTGCTGTTTAGGTTTTCTTAATAAGAGTTCTTGACTCTCTTTTCTCCCAGAGCTCTGAGGGGACAGTCTGTTTTGAATAGCTGTTAACTTCTGGAAGGAAGGTCCCACTCCACTACAGAATTACAGAATCACAGAATAGTCTGGTTTGGAAGGGACATTCAAAGGTCATCTAAACCAGCAAGCACGGACATCTTCAGCTAGACCAAGTTGCCCAGAACCACATCCAGCCTGGCCTTGAATGTCTCCAGGGATGGTGCATCCACCACCTCTCTGGGCAACCTGTCCCAGTGTTTTACTACCCTTATTGTAAAGAATTTCTTCCTCACATCCAGCCTGAATCTTCCCTTTTTTAGTTTAAAACCATTACCCCTCATCCTATTGCAGCAGGCCCTGCTAAAATGTCTCACCCCATCTTTCTTACAGGCTCCTATTAAGTACTCAAAGGCCACAATAAGGTCTCCCTGAAATCTTCTCCAGGCTAAACTACCCCACCTCTCTCAGCCTTTCCTCATAGGAGAGTTGCTCCAGCCCTCTGTTCATTTTTGTGTCTCTTCTCTGGACCCTCTCCAATAGGTCTGTATCTTTCCTGTACTGGGGACTTCGAAGTTGGATGCAGTACTCCAGGTGGGGTCTCACCAGAGCAGAGTGGCAGAATTAGGTCCACTGCTCTGAGATGCCTTCTCCCCCTGGCAACTGACCATAGCTCCTGTGGACTGTTGTTTCTGTCGTAATAAATACTGTTGGTTTTCACACCGCCTTTGTTTGTGGTGTGTTTCTCTTTTGGATGAGCTGACTGAGAGACAGCATGGCAAACACTTCTATGTCAGCAGAAGTATTTATTTTGCTTATGTTGACATATTTGATGGCAGCCACCCCAAGGGGTAGTATATTGATATCCCTTCATTAGCAGCTGGAGAGATGGTCGGAAAGAATAAGTTCAGCACTTTCTAATAATGGCAGCTAATGCCGGTGAGGCTATTTTCGTCTTGCAGGTGGTGTGTGGGAGCTGTATGGGATTCTAATGGCTGTATTCCTTTTGAGTTTATAACATGATAAAGGATGATTGGAGACACTTTGTAATTTCTGCCTTTTTTTTTTTAGTTTTTTTTTTTTTTAAATCCATGTGTACCCATAAAGCAGGAGTTTTTTGTTCAATCCTGCTTGTGTTCTTGAGGTGAAACTGTTTTTTTCCTAATTCCACACAATGTGTTGGCAGTTGCATTTTGCTCCCCTTATCCCTTCTCATCTTCCAAGTAAAAGGGAGAATGCCTGCTCTTAGAATCACATCTCTGTTCACACAGGTTTCATCAATAATAATGCTTGTATCTATGTAAAGGAGAGTGCTGTTTGTGGCAAGAGTTAGCAGAAGCTATTGCCAGGTATGATACAATTCTGTGGCTAACATTTGGCTAACCATTTAGGAAATGTGACAACAGTTCATTTACATTTTTGTAACATTTTCGTAAATGAGACCTTGAAATGAATGTAGCAATTAGATTTGTAAATGTTGTTTTATGATAAGGAAATACAGCTTAAATGAGATAACTGTTTCCTCTAAGCAAAACTTACGGGAACATGGCAGCAGCTCCAGTAGTGGAGTTGTGCATCCACAGCATTTCTGGTTTCTCCTATTTCTCTGTTTAAGACTTCAGTACTCTCAGACCAAGTTCTTTCAGATATTCCACTTGAGGAGGAACTGGACGTCAAATTTACTTATTTGGTGTATTTGGTGCTACATGAGATTTTGATTTAGCAGAGTGATCCGGCAGCATACCGAAATCCGAACACAAGCATAATTTAGCAATTGTAATACACGGTCGAATCACAATACGATTCTTATTACCCATCTCTCTCTGCTCACCATGATGGCATGCGAGTTTGTTTTACCTGTTAAAATCAGCTAACATTATTGCCTGCTGATGAAGACCTACTAGAAGGGAGATAAAACCCTGTTGAAATCCTCTAAAGGACTGCAGGAAGTAACCATACTGTGAATTTATATGTAGCTCATGCAGTGGTCAAGGAAGGAGAAAACACATTTTCAGTTTTATGGTTTTGAGCAAAAGTAGGTTCACACAGACCTGTGGCTGATACGTTCCTGCACGGATCTGTGGCCCTCCCACAGAACTGAGAGGTAACAAGGAAGTTGGATCTGCAATCTTCTGACTTTCCTCTGTAGCACAACTTGGAGAACAGTGATGGGCAATCGCCTTTCCTCTCTGAAGGCCCTCAGCTACAGTTACTTTGCCTGTCCTCCCTTTCCTTCAAGTCCTGGCTGGGAAACCAAATGCTGTAGCAAAACAATCCTGGCACTTAATCTTGTGTTTTGTTTTCAGCCAGCAGAAGCACTGCCACCAAAAAGTAGCCAGAAGATTGGTAGAAAAGTGAAGTTGGTGAGTTGAAGTCCTGCAGGCTTAAGCTGAAAGCAGACAAAATCAGAGTGATGCTGTTTGAAAAAGGAAATTCTTAGAAGAATGTTCAGGGGGACTGTTAGGTGCACAGGCAGAAATAATGTTTTCAGTGGCATAAATCTCTGCCCAGTCATTTGTATCTTGCTGCCTACTTGTTCAGTTTAACATCAGTTTCCCAGAGAGCTATTTGCACCCACTTACCGTGGGAAGCTGGTAATTTTCTCCATGGTAATGTGTTTAGGGTGAGTTGTTAATGTGCTGCTCTTGGGATGGGTTAGTGGTACACATCAGGAGCCTACCTGTGTTCAGGTTACTGCTGGCCTCTCCCATCACAGGGGCTGCTGGAAGTATGTGTTTTCCCACCATCTATATAAAGGTTCACTCTTAGTTCTCAAAGTGGTGAGATATTCAGGTACTGTGGAACTTTGGTTAGTTGAACTGTTGGCTGTGTCTGTGGTCTGTAAGATTTCCTGCAGGAAATCTTGAAGGCCAGGGAGAAGTGGAAAGAAAAGACACACCATTTAGGAGATTAAGCTATGCTAGCTGTTGGGTGTTTAGCCCTTGATGGTTACTGTTTTTATTCTGACCCCTAATAAGATTGCCATGTCCTCATGGAAGTCAGTCAGATCTGCCTCTTTTCACTAGAGAAACATCAAATTATGAACAGAGAATGACACGCTTAATCTGCAACAGTAGTGTTGTGCTAAAAAATGCAGTTGCGGTCTTTGGGAATTCCCAGTGAGTAATTTTGCATCCTTTCTGTAACTGTGCCTTTGCTTGTTACTGTGTCTGTTCTGGTTTTGACAGCCACAGGACTTCCCCAGGTCCCAAATGTGGTTGGCTCTTTTGGGTACCAACTGTATTACTTTTCTAGACAGGTGGAACATCATTATGGACGTGTCTTCTGGGCTTGGCTTAGATCTTTTATTAGTTTTATATCTGTACAACTGCTTTGTGTTTAGGCTTTATTTGCCCAGATACATGAGTGCACAGAGAAGGATCTGTACCTCCTGCATCCTATTTACTAGGAAGAACTTGTTTTAACTTGTCTTGAGGGCATGTTATCTCCTGTAAAGTAAGTCAGATCAGTGGCGTTACAAGCTTCTCCCCCCTGTCTATTGAAAGGGCAATGAACTGTGCCTTTAGACCAGCGAGAGGCGCTTGCAGGAAAAGCGTGGGCCGCAGTGAGAGCTTGAGCCCCGCACAACCACGTTCCGTTTTCTCGAGTATGGAGTCGGGAACAGTCAGTGCTCCGGGAAGTGTAACTCCAGGGGAAGGCGGGGCTAAACTGCCCCTGGGAGAAGCCTCTCTGCCAGCGCGCAGCCTCTAAGCTAAGCTATGGCGAGTTCCGCTCTCATTGTCTGACGTTCCGAATGGAGAAGAGCTGCACCGCCCGAGCACCGCCTCCTGCCCGCCCCATCCTGGCGGCGGGCGGAAGAGGCCTCGCCCCGGGCACGGGCTGGCCCCTGCGCCTTTATGGAGTTTCCGAGGCGGCGGCTGCTGATGGTCTGCGAGGAGCTGGGCGAGGGCGACCTGGCGGCTCTCAAGTTCCTCAGCCGGGGACACATTCCTATGAGGAAGCTGGAAGCCATCCAAAAGGCACAGGACTTCTTCGAAGCCCTGCAGGAAAAAGGCATGATCGAGGAGGAGAACCTTTTCTTCCTGAAGGAGCTGCTCTATCGGATCCGTCGGATCGACCTCCTGGAATCCCGCCTGGGCACCAGCCGACAGGAGATGGAGAGGGAGCTCCAGATCCCAGGCCGGGCAAAAGTGTCACCCTACAGGTGAGTCACCGGTGGTCGGGCTGAGCTTCCCCTGGCAGCGCCCTCTGGGACCGGCTGCCCTGCTGTGGGGACGGCGTGAGCCTTTACTGACGGCACCAAGGCCAGGCTGAGGTTCGGAAACAAGCAAGCGTCTTGCAGGGGAAAGCAGCTACAAGCCATGCGGAAAGCTGAAGTTTCTGCCCAGTAAAAGGCAGAATACTAAAGCTGCACCTTTCTGGAATACTGTACAGCCCCAAAGGCCTCCCTCCCTGCCCGGGTGCAACCCTGGCTGGGTGCGAGTCTGGTCTCGACTCCAGAACGTTTCAGCGTGGTTTTGATTTTAGGAAAACTGAGATCTTTTTAACTGCAGCTGAAAATGGTTTGATTTCAAGCTGTCCCGGGAGCAACGTCCCTCGTTTTAAAAGATAAGAGAGACACGTCTGTGCCTGGGAGGAAGACAGAAGTGAAAGGTTAAAGGGGTTGGATAGCACAGAGCCAAATTGTGCTAAGGGTCGGTCTTGGGAACAGGATGAAACAGTGTTCTCTGCTTCTCTTTCTAGATACCTGCTCTTTCAGCTGTCAGAAGACATCACTGAACCTGAGCTGAAGTCTTTCAAGTTTCTTTTGGGGCAAGAACTACCAAAATGCAGGCTAATCCCTAAGGCTGTAAGAATTCTTTAACACTCTCTCCTCCCTGCCCCCTCTTCTTAAAAATTAGTGTTATAATCCACAGATGCATTTGGGTTGCTGTGAGGGGAATAAGCATCACTTTCCTCGTGGTGTCCCTCTTATGATGAAAACACCGTAAGAGAAGGCTACACCTGGAAAGGGATTATTGGCTGTCTGGTGCATATGGGACTTGTCTATGCTAGTGTCCTGTGTAGCTTTTGCAGCAGTGTCAAGGCCTGGAGAGCATGGGCAAGCACTGTGCCAGGCAGAGCAGCCTTCGCATCCAAGCACCACATAAGGTTCTAGGGGACTCAGTGGCTTTGGTCAGTGAAAGACTGATGAGCATATTCACTCATCTTGCCCAACTGATTTTCTTTTAGCTGCTTTTTAAGCCATTCTCAGACACAGAAAATCAGTCACTGTGGCTGTTACTTCATGCTCTTATTCTTTTCATTTCCAAACTCGAAAAATACAGATCTAAATAACAGATCCTTACCAAGGCTAAGGCCCGAAAGCTTGGAGTTTACAAACAGCCTTGTGGGCAATCAGCTGCTCTTATACTATCTCAGTCTGCACTTCTGACTCCTGGCTCTTTTGTTCTGTTTAATGAAACTCTTGTAGCATTTTCCCTCTTTTCTTAGAGGAGAGATTGTAACTATCTAGTGATAGCTGTTCTGGTAGATCCTTGAGTGACCACTGTGCTCCACCACTCACTGTTCGGCAAGAGCTCCTGTCCCTTGGGTCCCCTTTTTCTTCAGAGCAATCTCTACACCATACTTGCATGGTTATAGCCACTTTTGCCATTGCTCAAGAAGTACTGCTACAGTACCTTAAAGCTTAGGTGCACATGCTGCCACTTCCCTCACAGTGCAGGATGGATGTGCCCTAAGAGCAAACTGCCTTTCTGAT